AAAGTTGTCATTGGCTCCAAGCTCTTACTAAGGTAGTGTTTAGTTCTTAAGAAAATGAGTTAGAAGAGTGATTGTTAATTGCTTTGTGATTAGGGATTGTTTGAGGATTATGCTTGATTTTAACAATAATGGGTTTACTTATTAGATGGTATTTCAAAGGATTTTATTGTTAGAATTAATTTTTTTTTTCATGTTAGCATATCAATTCCACCTCTTTCAATATTGTTTAATTGTGTTTAGTTTGTGGTGTTAGATTGTGTTGAGTCTAGGAGGTCATGATTCACTCCTTAATAATGTGTTATTTATAATTGAATAACATAATAGTGTTGTTGAGAGGAAAAACCACACACTTGTAAATGTTGCTTATGCTTTGTTTGTTAATACAAACATTTGTCAAAAAGCCATAATAATGCATGTCCAAAATTGTTTTGCCACTATTGCATTGAATGGCAAGACCTTTGAGGAATTTTGGATAGGCTCAATTTTTAATGTTTCCCACTTCAGGGTCTTTAGATGTGTTGCTTATACACATATCCAAGATCAGCTTCCAAAAAATCTAAATAACAAAAACAAAAAATTCATTTTCAAGATGACCCCATTGGAAGGGAAGGTTACTAAGTTATGGGATCTTGAAACTTCTAAGTATAGACATAGTGTTCAATGAGGATGATTTCCCTACTTATTCAACTAATCCACAAGATCCCTCCCTCATTCATGAATGTGTCCCAATGATCCCACTACTTGTGCATATACTAGCAAATCTAAGTTATGCCCTACTACCTAACCCTTCTAAGGGGATCTCTTCATTTCAAACATGGCTGGTCCAAGTGTCCCTATGGCTAATGTTTGATGTTGTGCTTCTACTGCCTCTGCCACCTCATCAGTGTTGTGGCATACTTGATCCCATGCTAATACAAGACCACCCTTGTGACCATTAGCCCTCTTTGAAGGTCTGAGAAAGTTCTGAGCTTGATTACTTTTGCAGTCTTGTCAATGCTGGCATTCCACTTGCATATGATACAGTGGTGATTGGCCTAGAGGTATTTTTGGATGGAAGTTACTGCAAAGGAAGTTGCTTCTATTCAAGCTAATGGCACTTATGTCCAAGTTGACTCAGCTCCAACAGGACATTGTGTCTTGAATCCAAAGTGGATCTTTTCTAAAAAGTATGACAAAGATGGCCAAGTGGTATGCAAAAGTGGCAAATCCACCATATGGATGTCAAATTAACATTTCTCAATGGGGATTTAAAGGAGGATATCTACACGCATATTCCTGTTGTGTTTGAGGACGACATTGCCCTTGCTAGTGTTGTATGGCAATTACAAAAAGCTTTGCAAATATAAGCTCTGGTGTTTGGTATCAGAAATTTAATGCTGCCTTACATACTTGAGGATTTTGTCAATGCCATACTGATCACAACATGCATACTAAACATCATGTAAGGAGTATGCTTATTGTTCCCCTCTATATTGATGATCTACTCATCACTATGATCCAATTACCATTGTTGCTTTGAAAGTAACCATTCCTGAACTTCAAAACTTCTGGCTCATTATAGACCCTAAACCCTTTTTATCCTTAATGCCACATGATCTCACAGTGACAAAAGGTCAAGGGCTTGCTTGACCGATTTGGTATGTGAGATTGGCACCTTGTGAAGACCCTGATGCTTGTTGGTGCCATCAACTTCACTGCTGACTAGTTTGGCATGCCCTTGGCAACTAGGACTCCCTATCACAACTTCATTGTTTGCCTCACATACTTGGCTCTCTTGAATTGTCATCACCTATGCAACCATTGCTTTAAGTCAGTTCAACACATCTGACCACAACACACTAGCAGGCTGCTAAATGTATTGCCTAATATCTCCAACATGCTTATGAAAGCTGTCTTGCTCTCAGCTTGCACGCCAGCTGCCCCGACTATGGCGTGGCCTGGCGTGGACGACCCTTGCTGGTCCACCGCGACATGGCACGCAGCGAGCCGGTGGGAGAAGCCAGAGCAATATCTAGGCAGGGCAGCTTCCAGGGCTGCCAGTGTGGTAGAGGAGTGTGGGGTCAAGCAGATTGATCGGGCCACAGGGAAAAGGAGGAGATGCTGTGCTACCACAGCGAGAAGCTGGCGATTGTGCTCTTGATTGCATCATTGACAATCAATGTTGCAGGGAGAAAAATGGCACAGAGTTTTCAAGTGCGTGATTACTGAAGAAAGTTAGCCCAAAGAAGAGTGTGTTCCTCGAGCGATCCCAAACCATCGCAATCATTGACGGCATCACGGATCAGGTCATGGAGGATCGAGTCCAAGGGTGGGGAACTCGAGGACAAGCACACTTCTGCTGTGACAGCGGGCATCGCAAGAGGCAAATAGGAAAAGACAGAATGGACAAGGAACTAACCACAAATGCAAAAGAAAGAACCACAAGAAGGACCATGCAGAAGATATTGGCAGGCAACACGGAGGATGTAGGCAAACAGGGGAAGGTAATTACCAGGGAGTTGATCATCTCATTGCTAACCACCACTTATCTATCTCCTGTTTTTGTTTTGGCAGGCTTGCCCATGGACAAGCAAGAAACATTGATTAAGAGGACGTGTACTTGAATCCGTGGGTCACCAGACCATCTGAAAAGTATATGAATAAGAACTACAGATATCTTCAAAAGATGCAAAAATGTCAAAAGTGATAATGAAGCTGCTGAAAAAAGGTGGAAGAAGTAAAAGTTTGGTCTGAAATTTTGAAGGCACGAACCTCATGTATACGTGATTATATAAAATCTTTGACTATATAGACCACAGGCCGTGACTCATGATCTTTGCCAGGGTAATCGTATCAGACTTTAGATAGAAGAAAGAAAGCACAAGCAGCCATGGAGTTTTGATCAAAGGTAGCAAAGAAAGAAGCATATATAATTCTTGCAAAACATGCCTTGGATCACTGTTGTAGCATCGTTCTTGATCCCAGTGCTGGGAACTCTGTGGATCTGGAGGTATTTCTCACGGGAACGCTATGATCCACCGCTGCCTCCCGGAAGCATGGGACTCCCACTTGTGGGCGAGACGCTCCACATTTTGTACGCCATGAAAACGAGCACGCTATGGGAGTTTTACGGGGCTCGGGAGAAGAAGTATGGCCCTATTTACAAGACACACATCTTCGGCCGCCCCACGATCGTCGTGAGCCCTCCTCTGGGATTCAAGCTTTTGTTCTCCAACCATGGCAAGCTCGTCGAGAGCTCCTGGCCGCAGCCCATGAAGACGCTCTTGGGCGACAAGTGTTTGTTCTTCATGGAGGGCCAGAAAGCCAAGAGCTTTCGTCACATTCTCCTGGCGTTCCTCGGCCCGGATGCCATACGGCGGTATGTGGAGAGGGCGAGCGTGATCATCCAAGAACACATTGACAAGTTTTGGATGGCTGGATCCGAGGTGAAGGCTTACCCCCTCGTGAAGAAGGCCTTGTTCTCGCTCGTCTTTAGCTTGTTCTTGAGCATCTCGGACGAGGAGGAGGAGAGGGAGCTCCTGGCTCCTTTCCAGGGTTTCTTGCAAGGGTTGCTTGAGCTGCCGATCGACTTGCCAGGGACAATGTTTCGTCGCGCAAAGGTTGGACGGGCGAAGATCTTTAAGAAGCTGGACGAGTACATAGCCAAGAGAAAGATCGAGCTAGAAACTGGCAAAGCATGGCCTCAACAGGATTTTCTCAGTGTTCTCTTGACTACCAAGGGAGAGGATGGAGAGCCCATGACCAAGGAAGAGATCAAACAAAACATTCTCATGTTGGTCATGTCAGCTCACGATACCACCGTAAGCTCCTTGGTAAGTTCCATGAAATACATTGGAGAGAATCCATGGTGCTACGATCGACTTAGAGAAGGTAATGGCGTTGTTCTTGAGAGCTTTCCAGATCTAACTCTTGCTCGATTGTAGAACACGTCTCCATTGCGCTTGCCAAATCTCAAAAGGAGCCACTCACTCACAGCGATTTGCAAAAGATGGACTACACTTGGAAGATCGTCCAGGAAGCAATGCGCTTGGCTCCTCCCGCAGCTGGAAACCTCCGAAGGGCGACCACTGAATTTACCATGGATGGATTCACGGTTCCAAAGGACTGGCAAGTAAGTTCACGATCAAAGTTTCTATGCACTCCATTCTAAAGTGGTATCTCTGCTCTTCGCAGCTTAACTGGACTGTGTTTCGCAGCCACAAGAAAAAAGAGTTCTTTGAGGAGCCAGAGATGTTTAATCCAGATCGATTTGATCGCCCATTGCTTCCAAACACTTACGTTCCATTTGGTGGAGGCCCTCGCATTTGTCCCGGATACGAGCTCGCCAAGATGCAAGACCGCATTTTTCTACATTACCTTGTCACAAGGTTTAAGTGGACGTTGCTGGATCCAAACGAGGCCATCCACATGACCCCACTCGCTCTTCCCGTCAATGGCCTCGGCATAAAACTCGTATCCAATCCAGTAAAAATCTGACTTTTCGAAGGCTCTGAACGACGGATGGATCATAGTTCGTAAGAGTAAATAAGAACAGTGAAGTCTTTGGCACAAAGGTCAAATAAAGAAGCTACGCTACCGAAGAAACCGGATACGCAAGGGGGCGGCATTGTCTTCACGGGTAATTTCGATTTAAAAGCTCCCAGGTCTAGAGAAATAGTGAAAAAAATGCTAGAGTTTCCAGGAGTAATAGCGGTGGTGAGCTTAGTACTGGCCGGGATATGGATCTGGAGGGCTTTCTCACAGAAATCCTATGACCCAACTACGCCTCCGGGAAGTTTTGGGCTCCCGTTCCTGGGAGAAACTCTCCATCTCTTGTACAGCATGAAAGCAAACGATCTATCGGGATTCTACGAGTCTCGTGAGCGAAAGTATGGCCAGGTTTTCAAGACACATCTGTTTGGCCACCCCACGGTAGTGGTAAGTCCTCCTCTTGGATTCAAGTTCTTGTTCTCCAACCATGGCAAGCTCGTCGAGAGCTCCTGGCCAGCTCCGGTAAAGATGCTTATGGGTGACAAGAGCTTGTTCTTCATGGAGGGCCAGAAAGCCAAGAGCTTCCGTCACATACTCATGCGTTCATTGGTCCCGAGGCAATGCGGAGGTATGTCGGGAGGTCCAGCTCCATCGCTCAGGCACACATCGAGAAGTTTTGGCTGGATGAATCGAAAGTTCGAGCGTACGTTCTCCTAAAGAAGGCGATGTTCTCGGCGGTGTTTAACTTGTTCTTGAGCATACAAAACGAGGAGGAGGAGAGAGAGCTCTTGGTTCCATTTGAGGAGTTTTTGCACGGTATGCTCGAGTTGCCGATCAACTTTCCAGGGCGGGCAAAGCTTGCGAGGCACAAGATCTTTGAGAAGCTGGACAAGTATATAAGCAAGAGAAAGGTGGAGATCCAGGAAGGGAAGGCGTCGGCTGAGCAAGATTTGCTCAGCGTTCTCTTGACAACGAGGGGAGAAGATGGAGAGCTCATGAGCGAGGAAGAGGTAAAGCGAAACATCCTCATGATGGTATTGGCCGGGCACGACACCACTGCTAGCACTCTGGTGGTCTCCATGAAATGCATCGCTGAGAATCCTTGGTGCTACGATCGACTTAGACAAGGTTTTCACGATCATTCTTACGTCTTCTATGATATAACTCTCAAAGTTTCATGACCAGAGCATCTTGCCATAGCTGCTGCGAAGGATTCGAGCGAGCCACTCCGAGTAGAAGATCTCCAAAAAATGAACTACACCTGGAAAGTTGTTCAGGAAGCCATGCGTCTGCTCCCTCCAGCGCTGGGAAACACGCGGATAGCGATCACGCAAATGACCATCGAGGGCTTCACAGTTCCAAAGATTGGCGAGTAAGTTCCTCCACTCGGTCATCTCAAGACGTAAAATCCTTTTTTGATTGATGGCCAGTTCATGTGGAGCGTCTTCCAGAGCAACAGGAGGAGCGCGTTCTTCCCCGACCCAGACAAGTTCGATCCGGAGCGATTCGATGCTAGCTCGGGCTTGATCCCATACACGTACGTTCCATTTGGCGGAGGCCCTCGCATTTGCCCCGGGAACGAGTTCGCCAAGATGCTCGTCCGCGTGTTCTTGCATCATCTCCTCACCCAGTTCCAGTGGTCGCTCGTCGATGCAAAGGAGCACGTCCAAATGGCTCCAATCGCAGCTCCGGCCAATGGCCTCCACATCAAACTCTCCAAAAATCCAATATAATCTCTCGCGGTTCCCTGGATGGAAAACATAGCATCATACTTTACCACCAATTTTATACGGCGGTACGTTGGGACGAGCGTGATCATTGAAGATCACATCGAAAAGTGGATACGTCGTCTTGTTCTCGCTCGTCTTTAGCTTGTTTTTGAGCATCTCAGAGGAGTGGGATTGGTTGAGCTGCCGATCGACTTGCCAGGGATGATGTTTCGTCGCGCAAAGGTTGGACGGGCGAAGAGAAACTGGCCTCAAGAGAATTTTCTCAGTGTTCTCCTGATAACCAAGGGAGAGGATGGAGAGCCCATGACCGAGGAGGAGAGCAAACAAAATATTCTTATGTTGGTCATGTCAGCCCACGATACTACCTGAGCTCCTAGTGATGAGTTCCATGGAAACACATTGGAAAAAATCCATGGTGCTACGATCGAGTTAAAGAAGGTAACTGCACTGTTCTTACGTTTGCAGACCGTACTTACAACTCTTGCTCTCCATTGGGGAATCGCTATGCCTTGATCTCCCAATGAGCCACTCACTACACACGGATATTTGCAAAAGATGGACTGACCGTCCAGGAAGCTATATGCGCATGGCTCCTCCCGCCGCTGGAAAACTCCAAAGGGGATCTGAATTTACCATGGATGGTTCAAGGCCTGGCAAGTAAGTTCTGCACTCCACTCTTCGCAGCTTAACTGTTTCGCTGCTACAAGTAAGAAGAGTTTTTTGAGGAGCCGGAGAAGATCGATTAGATCGCCCATTGCTTTCAAACACCTACGTTCCATTGAGCGGAGGCCCTCGCGTTTGTCCCGGATACGAGCTCGCAAGATGCAAGACCGCATTTTTCTACACCACCGTGTTGGAGGCTGCTGGATCCAAACGAGGCCATGACCCGCCTCGTCAAATAAAGATTCGATATGCTAGATAAGAGTCAGGACATGTAGGGCGGCATTGTCTTCTCTAGATCCTTCACAAGTACCTTCAATTTCAAGAAGAAAGAGAAAAAAATGCTAGAATTTCCAATAGTAGCAGTGGTGAGTTTAGTACTGGCCGGAATATGGATCTGGAGGGCTTTCTCGCAGAAATCCTATGACCCACCGACGCCTCCTCTTGTCACCCATAAGCATCCTTCATTGGCGCTGTCTTGGCGCCAATGAAGATGATCATGGGTGACAAGAGCTTGTTCTTCATGGAGGGCCAGAGAGCGAAGAGCTTCCGTCACATACTTATGGCGTTCCTTGGTCCCGAGGCTATGCGAAGGTATGTTGCGAGGGCCAGCTCCATCGCCCAGGCACACATCGAGAAGTTTTGGCTGGATGGATCGGAGGTTCGAGCATATTTACTCGTTAAGAAGGCCTTGTTCTCGGTGGTGTTTAACTTGTTTTTGAGCATACAAAACGAGGAGGAGGAGAAAGAGCTCTTGGTTCCATTTGAGGAGTTTTTGCACGGCTTAGTCGAGCTGCCCATCAACTTTCCAGGGACCAAGTTTCGGCGGGCAAAGCTTGCGACGCGCAAGATCTTTGGGAAGCTGGACAAGTTCATAAGCAAGAGAAAGGTGGAGCTTCAGGAAGGGAGGGCGTCGGCTGAGCAAGATTTGCTCAGCGTTCTCTTGACAACGAGGGGAGAGGATGGAGAGAGAAAAACATCCTAATGATGGTCATGGCCGGGCACGACACCACTGCTAGCACTCTGGCGGTCTCCATGAAATGCATCGCTGAGAATCCTTGGTGCTACGATCGACTTCGACAAGGTTTTTACGATCATCCTCTATGATCTAACTCTCAAAGTTTCATGACCAGAGCATCTTGCCATAGCTGCTGCGAAGCCACTCCGTGTAGAAGACCTCCAAAAGATGAACTACACCTGGAAAGTTGCGTCTGGTCCCTCCAGTGCTGGGAAACACGCGGATAGCGATCACGCAAATGACCATCGAGGGCTTCACAGTTCCAAAAGATTGGCGAGTAAGTTCCTTCACTCGATCATCTCAAGAACTTCTCTCATGATCATTGATGGTCAGTTCATGTGGAGCGTCTTCCGGAGCAACAGGAGGAGCGCGTTCTTCCCCGACCCAGACAAGTTCGATCCGGAGCGATTCGATGGGAGCTCGGGCTTGATCCCATACACGTACGTTCCATTTGGTGGAGGCCCTCGCATTTGCCCCGGGAACGAGTTCGCCAAGATGCTCCTCCGCGTGTTCTTGCATCATCTCCTCACCCAGTTCCAGTGGGCGCTCCTCGATCCAAACGAGCACTCCATTCGCACTTCCGGCCAACGGCCTCCACGTCAAACTGTCCAAAAATCCAATATAATCCCTCGCGAGGTTCCCTGGATCTTGGAAACCATAAACTATATCACTCGATCTTGGAACCATAGCATCACACTTTACCACCATTTTTATAACGTCCTTCCACGAATCAAGCATGTTGCATGTATCTTTCTTGTGGAAGCTTCAGGATCTTGAAGAGAGTAATCACTCGCCTTAAAAGAATGCCTCAAAACTTAATCCACACGCGCGCCGCCACCTTACACATACGTGTATGCCTACGGTCATACGGATACGAAATCTGACTGACGGCAGCCGCCACTTATTGCCGTCTCCTATCCTAACGATCTTGTGTTTTCACATTTTCCTGTTGACTGGCGAAGAGCTCAAGATCTTCTCAAGAAAGGCTCTATCTTTTCTTTCTTCTCTCTCTCTCTCTCTCTCTCTCTCTCTCTCTCTCTCCTGCCGCCATAGCCAGCGAGCTCCAGCAGAGGTTCGACAGCGCCAGATCGCTCACAACTAAAACTTTTATCGCGTGGCAGCGAGTTTTGGGCGAGACGTTCTCTCATCTGGGGAGAAGAAATTCGATGGACAGTAACGTATCCAGTCAGTGACACAGAGCTCAGGCTTTTAATTCTCCTCTTTGGATTTCCTCTTCCTCCTCCTCTGCCATAGTTCTTTCCATTTGGCGCCTTGCAATTGCTGGCTTGTTGTATGTGTTCTAGTTGGCGATCAATCAATGCCACCACCACCAGCGGCCAGCCGCAAGACAAATCCTGATCGAACACCATCAATCCTGGGGCTCCATGCTCCTCAATCAATTTGTCTCCAGGCCCTCCTCGCGTCTCTTCTCTCGCCTTGATGATCTTCTTCCATTTCCAGAAGAAAGCGAGAAATTTACACCACTCTCTCGCCGTCGTCACTGTTCCGTTTCGTGAACATCACCCGCAATTAAGAACGAGCTGACGAAGCTTTCTTGCTTGTTCTCCATCCATTCTTTGCTCATCCCGTTTGCTTCCAGTGTTCCAAAGTTTCCAAACGGACGAGATCGAGAACCAAGTATACGTGGTCTAAGAAAAATCTCGTTTTTCTTTTCTCATCCAAAGCGTACTTCACTTCTAAAGCTGGATTAGCCGCGAAGAACAGTAGGAAAAGAGCTCTTTTTCACCTGACAAGGCGGCGCTTTGCTCCGTTCGTATCACTGACCACCTCGAGCCGACGCTGCTTTTTTCCCAACTTTTTCTTCTCGGGCTTCCCATCATATATTCTGCTGCTGCTGATTCTCTGTGCTCAACGCCTGGAGCCACAAATCCGTGAAAACTTGCACGATCACCTCGTGAAACCCCGGCGGATTGAGGTAGAGGTAGCACTCGAGCAGCTCCTCCAAGTCCGCGGCCTTGTTGAGCCGCTTCTCGAAGATCATCTGGACCATTGACTGCCGGAAATCCTCGTAAGGATTGCTGGAGACGAGCATCACCGGGACGCTCTCCCGGACTTTCCCTCGCACCAGATCCTTGGGCTTCTTCTTCTTCTTCGTCCGCGCGTGATCGTCTAGAGCTGGAGCACTCGCGCCAACCTTGTGCCTCGGAAACTCTGGAAGAACTTTGCTCGCCACCTCACGGCCATCCTCCCAAAACTTTGCGCTGGATTCGAGCGAGCTTGCCGATGATATCCTCTTGCCATCGCACCGAGGAGGAGGAGGAGGAGGCATCTTTGACGACGAACTTAGAAGCAAGCCTAGCTCATCAAACTCCGACAATGCTCCCGTCATCTTGTTGCCGCTAGCGTGATTTCTCGAGAGATGAAAAGAAGAATTGTGATGGTGGTGGAGGTGGTGGCGATGGTGGTGGCCCCTCCTGCCGCCGCCGCTGCTGCCGCTAGTGCTTGCGCTACTGCTGCTAGAAGATTTCTTGGGCCTGGGAGTCTGGCCCGCGTGATTCTTTAATCCCACCTCCTCGATCGCTTCGTGCCGCTGCTCGTCCTCCAGAGTCGTGGCACGGTGGACGAGCTTGCTCGAGCCGGGCGCGCTGCTGTCGTCGCTTGCGAACAAAGAGTGCTCCTTGTCCCACGCCAGAGCCTCCGGCCCCAAGCTGGCATCCCCGGACGAGGTACTCAGCCGGAATGTATGCGTGGAAGATACTTTCCTCTCCCTCTCCGACGAAGATGGATCGCTAGTAACCCGCGCGGCCTGGCCGACGATCAATCCTTGTTCCTCCATCGCGGAGATCTCCGCATTCGCGGGAGCTCTCAGCAGCCTTGGAGAGGATTGGCTCTTCTTTCTCTTCTTGAGAACCACCTTCTTCTTCACCACTTTGCCACTGTCCACTGCGGCAATCACGCTCCACAAGCCCTCTCGCTCCCACATTTCCTCCTCCTGGCGAGACGCGACTACCATGGGCGCTGCTCGAGAGCTCGCTGCTCCAACGGGCTTCTTGCTCAATCCCTTGACGCGCTTGTACTGGCAATTCTCGCGGACAATCGCTTCCTCTCGCGAGCAGCAGCTGTATCCAAACACCGGCTTCCTGTTCTTCTTCATAGCCTTCGCGGGAGCTGGAGCGATGAGACTCCTCTCCTCCTCGGGCTCTTCTTCCCGATTGGAATCGCTGGTGAAAGAAGAAGAAGATTTCTTGCTCGCTGCCGGCGCTACCACTGACGATGGCGCCACGGGCTTGACGCGATGCGCTCGGAGAAGGAACACTCTAGAGATTACATTGGTGAACTTGAATCGCAGCCTCCTCCTCCCCATTTCCCTGCTAGCTGCGATTCTTTCCCCTCTTCCTTTCCCTTCGTTCAATCAATCAATCAAGCGATCAATCGATCGTGTCCCAGAGCTCTCCAGCCACCTAAATATTCCCCAGCATTCTTCCCCCGCGGCTAAGAACTAGAGATTTACTGTACCATCGCCAGTGAAATGTGGAGCGCAATCAACACGGCGGCAATGCCACTCGAGATTTGGAGATCCCACGAAAGTCCACACGCACGCATCGATCGAGCTCTCCACTCCCCTCCCCTGTTCCTCATTCCCTTTGGCGCCAAGCTGCTCGTCCTCTTCGCCCCTTCCCCGTCGCTGTCGATAACATGGGAAGAAGACGCTTAATAACCAAGAGCCCTAACCTGGACGGAATATCCGTCCAGACAGAATATTCGGGAGTCAAACGGAAAGTTCCCCTTGACAGAATATGCCATCGTCTTCTTCCTAGAAACTTGGAGCTTTCAGGAAGTGGCGAGCACGGGCGATTGGAGGGCCTCCACGATCTTGTAGCATCTCTCGCACAGCGTGGAGTGGAGCGTGAAGCTTCCCACGGCGGGCGAGTACTTCCAGCACCTCTCACATTTCTGTCCTTCGGCTCGCTTCACGCCAATCCAGGCACGGCCGCCGCTTCCCTCCAGCTTGCAGCTCCCCGTGTATGCACAGTCTGCGTCTTCGCAATCGACAACTTCCACCTGATCGAGAAAGAAAAGAAGCGTTATTTTTTTCTCCTGGTTGGTCCTGTGCGAATCGAAAGAACATCTAACGAGGAAGATCTTACCTGTGACGTCAAGAATATAACGTGTAGCTTATCGACGGTGCCATCCTCGGAGCCGGCCATGGCTTGGAGTGTGGAGTGGAGGAGTGCGTCGTCCTCCCCTCCCAAGTGAAGGCAAACCTTTGCGTCGAGGTTTGCTCCTATCAGCTTTCCCATCCTTGCTGATTCCAAGACTTTGTTAACTTCCACCCGAAGCTGTGCATGCAAACGAGCGTCACTGCTTATTTGCAAAGAGAGTTTTAAGACACTCACCTCTAGAAGAAGTGACCATAGCTTCTTGTCACGATCGGAAATCGTTCGCCATCTCGGGTCTACTTCGGGCCACCCCGCCTCAAACACGCTCTCGGCTTTGGAGCCGTCTGGTAGAATGTACGAGAAGGGGAGGTGTTGCCATGCGTCCTCTGCCAAGTGTGGGACAACGGGTGATATTCCACGGGCCAGATACAGCAAGAGGGAAGCTAGAACCGTTTGGCAGCTTCTTCTTGTAAAGCTATCAGTGCCCCTGCAGGAAAACGATGAGAAATGATGGAAGATACAAACGAAACAAGCTTGCTCACCCCACGTATAATCTGTCCTTCGAAATGTCCAGATAGAAGTTGGACAGATCAAGCACCGCATACCGTTGCACCGACTGCATTCAAGTCGAAAACACAGAGTTAATAACTTTGGCGGAGCTTGTATCGCAACCTGGAAGAATTTTCCAAACTGGTACTTGTCTAGGCTGTCCTTGAGGCTATCCATTACGCTGGCGAGCTGGAAGAGAGTGTACTTATCTATTCCAGGAAGGTCATCGTACTCGATCTCAAGCTCTGGCTGAAGATAATACGAAACAGTAAAAAACCAGAAAAGTTGCGGAGCTTTTACATACTTTCCAGTCATGAAGGTTCGAGAGCAAATATCTGAGCGTTCCTCGCAGTTTGCGATAAACATCTGCCGTCTGTTTGAGAATCTGTGGACCGATTGCTACGTCCCCCGTGTAGTCCACGCTAGCAACCCAGAGGCGCAACACATCCGCTCCATAAGCCGGTTGTTCCTGTAACAATCAATCAGTGATTCATGGCGATTTCGTTTTCTGTAGTTACCTTTTGGTTCTTTCCCCCTTCAATCACGCTACGCGGGTCCACTACATTGCCGAGTGATTTACTCATTTTCACGTTTTTTTCATCCAAAACAAATCCATGCGTCAACACTTGACGATAAGGAGCTACTCCTGACAAAAAGAAAAATCCAAGCCGTTACGAGCATGTTTCAAACTTTATTGCTGGCCCACCTCTAGTAGCAACACTCGTGAGCAAGGAGCTCTGAAACCATCCTCTGTGTTGATCACTTCCTTCTAGATAAACATCTGCGGGCCATCTCTTCGTGCCTAGAACGGATGCCCAAGACGTTCCTGGACGTGCACAGGGACGTGTCAGCATGATCTTCAAACAGCAAAATCGGCAAACTCAACCTGAATCGAACCACACATCCATTGTGTCGGTCCCTTTCCTGTAATTGCTTGCTTTTGCTTTATAAGTGTCTGGAAGGAGGTCCTCCGTGGTCATTGACCACCATGCATCACTTCCTTGTTGAGCAATTATGGCTACAATAAATGCACTTTCAGCAACGGTATCTCAAACCTTATAATTGTTCTACTTACCTTGAACATGAGAGATTGTCTGTTCGTTGAGGAGCGGTTCACCAGTGTCTACATGATAAAAAACTGGTATTGGTACACCCCAGGCTCTTTGTCTCGATATACACCATTCTTTTCTCCCGCTTACCATTGACGTGATCCTATTTTCTCCCTGCAAGCTAGAAAAAACTAGAGTTACAAGCACAGCATCAGTAAAACAGGTACCTGTGAGGGAATCCAATCAACGTTTTTTATTGCGGCCAGAGCAAGTGGCATGAAGCCTTCAACCGAAGCAAACCATTGTTCTGTAGCTCTGAAAATTGTCGGCTTCTTTGTTCTCCAGTCATACGGGTACTTATGAACTATACGAGAGTCAATCCTCGGAAACATTTGTAAATTGTTCTTACCATAAGCCTCTTCCATCAGCAGAGACGAGTTGGCATCCAGTGCCTTTATGACTGCCTCGTTACCGTCGCTTAGTACGCTCATCCCAGCGAACTCATTTGCTTCGTCCGTAAAGTTCCCGTTGTCATCCACTGGTGACAACATAGGAAGACCATACTTTTGACCAGTCACAAAATCCTCTTGACCATGTCCGGGTGCTGTGTGCACCAAACCGGTTCCTGAATCTGTCGTAATATAATCTCCACCTATAACAATCACGCCTTCTCGATTTTCCAAAGGGTGCTTGTACCTGCAAAACGATGCTTCAATCCAGAGAAAAGTTAACCCTTTAGCAAACCTGCAAAACTCCAAGGCTGATCCCGTACAACTGCCCTTGACAACAAGTTGAACATTCCACTTGTCTTCGAGTGATGACACCAAGTCAGCCGCAACAATCAGATGGCTCACGACAGGCTTTAAAAGCCCATTCCCGTATTTTCGTCCAGCTTTAGTCGATTTTTTACCTCCAAGTGAAGAGTCGTCGTTGTTTAAAACAACTTCCACAACTGAGTACGTGAGTTTCTCATTGACAGCAACACCTAGACGAAATAAAGGATGAAATATAAATCATGTTTTGAAATAGTTATCCATACCCGTATTCCCGGGAACAGTCCAAGGAGTTGTAGTCCAAATAGCGACACCCAGGCTTGATAGAAGATATTCAAGTTCTTTGGGAAACTTGTCTGATGTAAATGTCATCTTAAACACAGCGTACATGCTTCGAGAAGTGTGACCTTCAGGATACTGCAATGAGTTATTGAAAGAAATTCAGCCCAAGGCGAAGAAATGTACCTCGAGCTCAGCTTCAGCAAGAGCTGTACCAGACGAAGGACTCCAATGAACGGGTTTACGACCCCTATAAATGTATCCATTTAAAACCATTTGACAAAATACACCGATCTGCCAGCACGAAATAAGAAGCGAACTAGAGGGACTAAAATAACGTACTCACCTGAGCAGCTTCGTATGCGGGTTGCAGTGTGAGATAGGGACTGTTCCATGAACCCCAGACTCCATATCTCTACAAACGAAAATAAAGGTAAGGAACCTTCGGTGATGGATTTGTCAAAACACGAAAACAAACCTGGAAAGAGCTGCGCTGCTGATCAACTGTTTTCAAGGCAAACTCCGCCGCCTTTTTTCTTAGCTCAATGGGAGAGAGTTTCATGCGCGCCTCGGCGTCGATGGATTGCAGCACTAGTCGAGAAACCATTCAAATAATGTGATATTCGACACGACAAAGTGAGATTTACCTTTGAGTTCGATAGGCAGACCATGACAGTCCCAGCCAGGAACGTAGAAAATCTTTCGTCCTTGAAGTAGCTGATAATACCATGAAGTCACAAAATTTGGATACCAAGCTAGGCATTTTACATACTTGGTAGCGGTTGATGAAGTCCTTCAAAATTTTATTCAAGGCGTGTCCCATATGCAAATCGCCATTAGCGTATGGAGGACCATCGTGAAGCGTAAATGGTTCCTGGAGCAACAAAACCATAAGAAAAGACAAAAAACAAAGAAGAAAATAGAGTGTACCCCTTGATTTTTCTGTGTAATCGTCTCGAGCAATTGCTTTTGCTCCCAAAATCTCTGAATCTCTGGCTCTCTCGTCACGGAATTTGCCTTGAGACTGAATTTAGTCTGAGGCAATTCGATAGTCCCCTTGTAGCGTGAATCCGGTTGCTTCCCTAGAAGCACAAATCTACATCGAGCCATCGCCGAGAAAACTACACCCTTACCTGCATTCTTCGCGGCCGCGAGCACTGGCGATCGTGGGAAAGAATGTAAGCCGAGCATCGCCCCGGAAGAGCGCTCCCGCAATCCACGAGAGAAGAAGAACGCTGGAACGCCTAGAGCTTCACATGACACGGATAACACAAAACCCTACGCTTGCGTGGCGTGAAAAATAGCGCTATGACATTGAAATGTGTCACGGTGGACAAAAAGAGGATTATGACATGGGGCGAGGGGGGGAACAAGGGAAGAACATGGGTGTTTAGCAAGAGTCGGGGCCTGGAAGCCCGCATTGCGGCGGGACCTTCCTCATTTTCTCGATTTCCACTCCTCTGGGTGGCTCCTTGATGATCGCGCACAGGCAGATCTTGCCGACCTTCTTGAGCTCCTCGCAACACGCAGCGCTGGGCTTGCCCGTCCCGGTCTTCGCATCCACGGCTGCGCGGCAATCTTGGAGCGCCTCGATCGCCCTGGCGGTATCGCACGACGAAGGAGGAGGAGGAGAAGAATCCACGGCAGCTCCATCCGTCGCGATCGCGATGGCGAGCAGCATGATCCCTCCAGTCACAAAGATTCTGCTTAGCATTGCGTGATTTCAAAGACAATTCAGCGAAAAACCCAGTTACTCGTGATCGCGATCGCCATCATTTTAAAACTGGATTCGCGATTTCTAGAATCGCAGCGTACAGCGCAGGAGAAAAATGCCAATCACAGCCAAGACGTGATCTACCTGTGAGTATGAGCCGAGTCTCCGACGTGGCAAAGTTCTACCACGTGGCAGAATAGGTCTACATTCGAGTTTTAGGGTTTATGGAGGCTAGGGTTTTGGGCGCTTTTTGGGCCCTCTTCAGTCAAGCAGCGCTCGCGCCGCTCAATGGTGGAGTGTCTGCCGCAAGAGGGCGACATCGACGGCTTGCTGAAGATGATGCGAGGCGGCAGCATCGACAGCCTCGTCAATCATATAAGTACAGTCACATTTTTTTGTTCTTGTGTAGAGTTTCTTCCTTCCTCTGGGATGATTCGAATCTAGATGACGAGTCTGATGCTAGCGCCATTGCTAATGAAGCATCGAACGAGGCATTTGTCTGAGAGGAGTGAGCCGGATTTGTGATGCATGCCGCCCGATGATGCTTTGAAAATCTTTGAGACCTGAAAACTTGGTGGCTTTTCGAGGCTGCCCTGAGTGGATAACTTGAAAATCCTGAGGGCATTGCTTGGGTTGGTTTCTTTCCTTTTTCTTGCGTTTTTGACCCGATTGCCCGCTTTTTTTCTCTGGGAAAATGTGTTTTTTTCTTGCGTGAGATAACTGAGCCTTGAATTACGGGTTTCTCTGACTTTTCCCAGATTGCATGCCGCGGCATGCGTGGTTAGCTTTGATCTTTGAGCACGACCTCGTTGACATGAGGTTTAAGATTGAAAGGATCCATGTGATGTGTTTGAAGAACAAGAGTTTGAGTTTGAGTGTCTTTCTTCTTAAATGTGGTCTACACGGCAGCGGCCGAGGCACGTTGAATGGACTGTTAAGAAACGAAACGAGAAAAGCGTATATTTAACAAACAAGAGCGATAGAAATGGAGCGAAGAGGATATTGGTGCTTCTCTTGTGTCGTTGCTGGTACTGTATAAATACTTTTGGTTTGTTTGGTGAAGGTTTTAAGCCCCTCTTTCTCTTCTTTTGTGCAGTTCAAGGCGCCGGGACAAAGCGGTGGGAGAAAGGACAAGGAGGTTTTTAACGAAAGGCGTGTTGCGGAAAAGAGTTGCGAAGTTTGGTGTGCGTTAGAAAAGGCCGAGGGGGTCCTCCGTCGTCGTTCATGGCACCCTCTACTATCTCTGATTTGCCAATCGGTCCAGCGCCCGTGTCTGTCAAGTATACCAAGCTCTTCATCGACGGCCAGTTTGTCGATGCTGTCTCCGGTACATTCGACCGTTTTCGTAAGATGATGTTGTGGGACTAAGAGCTCTGTGCTTTACAGGAAGGACTTTCGAAACTTTGGATCCGCGGAATGGAGAAGTGATCTCGAAAGTAGCCGAGGCAGATAAGCAGGATGTTGATGTCGCCGTGAAGGCCGCTCGAAAAGCTTTTGATCATGGGCCCTGGCCCAGACTGTCTGGATATGTGAGTAGAATGTTTAGTCAATGTTGTCTGATGGGTATTTTCGCTTCGCTTTGTCTCAGGCCAGGGGGCGAATCCTTCTCAAGTTTGCGGATTTGTTGGAGCATCATTTTGACGAGCTCGCAGCACTCGAGACTCTGGACAATGGAAAGCCATTGGACCTGGTGAAGTATGTGGACTTGCCAATGGCCCTTCGGCTTCTTCGTTCGTTCGCAGGTAGAATGCTACACTCTAAACGGTAAAGAGCCTGAGCTCCTTGTACAGGTTTCGCTGACAAAATCTGTGGCAAGACCGTGAAAATCGATGGGCCTTACCACGCGTACACTCTTCTCGAGCCGATTGGTGTCGTGGGCCAGATCATCCCATGGAACTTCCCGCTCATCATGTTTTTCTTGAAGATCAGCCCCGCGCTTGCTGCTGGCAACACAATTGTCTTGAAGACTGCCGAGCAGACTCCCTTGAGTGCTCTCTTTTGTGCAAGCCTGCTGAAGGAGGTCTGTAGATTTTCTCGTTTGTGCTGTTGATCTCTTACTGGAGTTCGTGAATCTGTGCTGCAGGCTGGATTGCCTCCCGGCGTCCTGAACATCCTCTCTGGCTTCGGCCCAACGGCGGGAGCTGCTATCTCTAGTCACAACGATGTGGACAAGGTAACGAATGGAAACTTCGGGTTTCTCTCGGGCGCTCACAAGGATATCGTGTTGCAGATTGCATTCACCGGCTCGACGGACGTGGGAAAGCTTGTGATGGAGGCAGCTGCGAAGAGCAACCTCAAGGCCGTCAGTCTGGAACTGGGAGGGAAGTCCCCCATGATAGTACTGGACGATGCAGATGTTGATGTAGCTGTCGAGCTAGCACATTTAGCGCTCTTCTTTAATGTGGTAAGTTATCGTCAACAGTTCTTTCGTCGGGCCTTTCGTCGGTGCCTTTGGATTTACAAGCGGGAATTTCAGGGCCAGTGCTGCGTGGCGGGATCTCGTGTATTTGTCCAGGAAGGTATCTACGACGAGTTTTTGAGAAAGGTTGTGGACCGTGCAAAGAGACGGGTGACAGGTGACTCCTTCCAAAGTGGCGTCGATCACGGGCCTGTGGTACGAAAGATTTATAATGCGAGCTCATATCAAGAAAACTAAGCACAGTGGATTGCACAGGTTGACAAGCAACAGTTTGACAGAGTGCTTGGCTACGTGGAGATTGGAAAGCGCGAGGGAGCGAGGCTGGTTACTGGCGGGTGCCGCATTGGTTCTCGCGGTTTTTACATCGAGCCAACAATCTTTGCCGATGTCGAGGTAACACAATTCTCTCTTTGCAAAAGAGATCTTTTATCATCTCTTTTTTTTGGTGTTCTTTCTAACTGATTGATTGCTTCGGCAGGATTACATGAGAATCGCCAGGGAAGAGATTTTCGGGCCGGTGATGTCGGTACTCAAATTCAGGTAACAAATCAAACTGGCTAGATTTTCTCGAGAATTCTACTTCTTTCTTTACACTTTTCTCGCCTTCCAGAACAATAGACGAGGTGATCCAACGAGCCAACGACACGGCCTATGGTCTCGCGGCAGGGATAGTAACCAAGGACCTCAACTCGGCCAACCGATTGACGCGGTCCTTGAGAGCCGGGACAGTGTGGATCAATTGCTACCACGTCTTCGACCCGGCACTTCCATTCGGTGGCTACAAGATGAGTGGGATTGGACGAGAGAATGGCAAGCAGGTCTTGTACCAATACTCCCAGGTTAAGTCGGTCGTGACTCCGGTGGAGTCGCCATGGCTGTAGATCTTTGGCACCTCTTCGTCGCTATGAAAGTGGTACTAGTTCCTGAGTTTTTTTTCTTTCTTTTCCTTGGGGGAGGGAAGGCTCTAATCGTATGATCCAGAGATTGCGTTGCGGGAGCGATAGCGCACGCTACCTACCGTGCCCGCATTCGTGCAAGCCAGGAATGCATGGGGGTCATTTAAAGAAGTATCTCCAAAAGGGAGGAGTGTGAAGCCCATGTAAAGATATAGTAATGAGGAAAAAATTTGTAGGAAACCTATTGTCGTTTGAGCGGAATCAAGCGAGAAAGTGGAGGGTCTTGCATAAAAACAATAGATAAGAGAAGCTCTTAGTCATGTCCAAACGAAAAATCGTCGGCCAACGCATGATCATAGACCATGTGAATGAAATTCTCAAAAATATCATTGTTGGAAAGATGGTAAAGATATATCTATTGTTGGAAAGTTGGCGTTCTCTCATACTGCCCTGAGCTCGCTAGGGTTTCCTATAGCTTTTATGGGTTCCCTTAGTTGCCCAATGCTCGCCGGGTCGATGATACGGCGATAGAGGAATACGCTCAGGCAAACGAGCAGAAGCAGTCCATGGAGCCGATCAATCCATGCCGGCAATGCTTTGCAGGAAAATCTATGGCTTGAGGCTCATAGTGGCGCTCCATGCCCCAGCAGGTGAGCTCAGTTCAGATGCTTTAGTGAGTTCCATGCCTCGCAGGTGATTTCTACAGCTTCATCGGATGCTTCAGCGAGTTCGTCTTCGTAGAGAAAGCTCTTCCGGCGCACCTCGGTATCAAAGATTACGCCCGGATTCTTGGCGAGGAGCTCGTTCGCTGAGACGTATCACCGTCTCCTGCCACCACCCCGCAAAATGGAATCCATGCATGATGCTCTCGAGGTTCTGGAGGAATGCACGCGATTGGGAGAACGACGTCGCCAAGCACTATCCAGTTTTGGTTCTTCTCCCGGTGGACTTTTTGCCTGGGAACGATGGCACGCTTGGCAACTGACGACACCGAGGAGCCCGATGGTGTTCCCATGGACGAGCTGTGTGCGGAGCTGATTGATCCAACTAAACTACCGATCTTCACTGTCACTTGGGACGTGAGCTCGCGCAGCGACAAGGAGAAATTTGTGAGGCTGTCCGAGTATGAAAAGAGAGGCCATCTTGTGCTCACCGTGAGACCTCCAAGCTTCCATCTTCCAACTTCTTGTCCAAGGTGCCTTTCCACATACCTATATCTATGCCTCGCCAAGAAGCCATTCATCGTCGAGCACTCCAATGCTGGTGAGCTTTCCTTCTTTTCTTTCTGTAGGATTATCTTTAATGGTTTTTTTCTAGACAACCTCAACTTCCTTATAATCGAATGGAACCTATTAACTGCGTTTGGCAATGACGTAGATAAGTTTTTGCAATCAACAGTGATGTGCGACTTTGATGTTGGGCTCAGTGAGGTTGAGGCTGCTAAGTTCCAGTCCTTGAGGCCACTGTTCATAGATCTTGATGATGCTCTTGACTTGGAGCTATGGACCAAATGTCAATCCAAGAGAAAAAGTTCTTGGTTTTCTTCTGATGTAGTTGGAGGAGAAATCGAAACTTCACACTTGTCATGGGCGATCAACAGGCATGGCACAAGGCAAAACAATGAGCAGACTTGGGAACTCTCAAGCCAGACAAACAGAGGTAACAACAAGAGTTCTTTATAATTGAAAATTTGAAATCACCATGTGTCATTTCAGATCTATGGTCGAGCATTGCGTTCTTACAAGGATCTTTCCTTGGTAATACAAGTGAACAAGGATTCAAAATACCTATGTGGCATGTAAGTTACAATGTAAGCTTTCATTCTTTTTCTAAGATCTTTCCTTGGTTTCTAGGCGGCCGACAAGCCTTGATGCAATGCTCATCACTCACATTCTATTTGTGAAGCGCGTTTCTCTAGTACTAAAAGCTTATGATTTTTCTCTATGATTCCTATTGTGTTTCATGCTCTCAGGAGAACTCTATTTTACGAGCTGCACTTGACTTGGCGCATCCGGAGCTCATCAACTATGCAAACCTCGGAATCACTCTGATCACCTGGCAGTGTGTGTTTGGATTGCAATCTAAGATCATCTTGCAATCCAAATTACGAGTTGTGTAGTAATTAATAATTTACATAGTCAATGCTAACATACTGGTATATGAAACTCAGGCTAACTCTTAAATATATGTTTCCTACTCTGAAGGAAACAGGGAAGAAGAAACCATAGCTTGTTCTTGATTTGTGCTTTTATCTAAAGCTATTTACGTCATAAATTCTTTTTCTAAGAATATAATTTGGGAATATGCTTTTGATCAAGCTGGAAAACTCGCTCAAGGTTCTTTTCTTTTTTTGCGATTCTTTCTAGCAAACAAAGTCCTCTCACTTCTCTACTTGGACTATGAACTGCAACTTCACCTAGAAAACAAATCACATTGTCTCATACTCGTTGTAGTCGAGTATGCAATCGTCCCGACCAGTGCCGTGGTGTTGTTCTACTCAGATGAATCCGGAAGCTTCTTTCCGAACGCCTTGATTGCCTGTGAATGGATGGCATTAAGATGAGAACGCTGCTTTCTTGAGGTGAGAGTCTTACCTCTCCTGCCTTTGGAAACACGAGCATGTCATCGCCCAAGGCCAGTATAACTGGTCCGTCCACTCCACTGAAGGCGTAGGTAACTGCTTTGCACGACGCGCCAGTGCAGTAGAGACCCTTGCCAAACTAGAAAAGCAAATGAGAGGTTACGTCGCACAAATTTGGACAACTTTAATACCATGTAGCCAGGAACAGGAGCGTTGTAGATTGCTGGCTGCATTCCCTTGATAAGATTGCAGGCGCTTGTTCCTAAAATACCGCAGTCAGAGCAGGAAAAAGAATCTTTTACGTACCCCACCACTTCGTTGTTTAGCTTGTCAATTTCTTGAAAGGATGCTGCACGGCTTTCAGCAATGATACTAACAGACTGAGCAAAAGTTTAGTTCCACGCGCTGTGCTAACGGAAAACATACCGGCTCGTAAGTTTTCTCCAGGTATATCTTATAATCGCCGAGCTTGGGGCAACGATCCGATAAAGGATCGTCCAATGTGTCCCCACTCACTTCACCTATGGGACGTGATATTGCTTTGAAAGATTCCACCCACGCGTCGCACACAACATCCTAGAAGAATTGCATGATTTACGACGAGCAACACAAAATGTCCACAGGATAGAACTTCAGCGCACCGCCACAGGGCTCCAGCGGACCGTACATAATTTGATGAGCACTAAAAATGCAAGTGACAAGAGGAAAGCTAGAAAAGACCAACCGAAAGAAGGAAACCATTCGCCATCAATGCTCATGAACGGAACTGGAAGCATCCATCTCCTGAGCGTTCTCGAAAAGAATCGGCCTCGCCTCCTCGTCCGACACATTGCTCTTGAGCTTGTCCACAAACTCGTGGAAGTTCTTACCGTCCTGCTCACGGCTCTTGGCGTCGCCACCACCGCCAGCCTTTTGCTTCTTGAGTTGCTTCCCGTCATCCATGGTCTGTTTGCCTTGCACCTCGGCGGATCCCGTCCCCAATCCACAGACACACTGCCAGGCGATAAGAAGAATTCCAAGGTCTGAGTACTCGATGAGCTCCGGATGCTCTAACTCAAGCGCAGCTCGAAGAATGGAGTTCTCCTAAGAGCAATGACACAACAACATGAATCATAGAGAAAAATCATATGCTTTTGGTACTTACAAGAGAGATGCGCTTCACAAATAGAATGTGAGCGAGGAGCATTGCATCGAGGCTCGTGGGCCGCCTAGAACAAAAGAAGATTTCAGAAAAACATGAGAGGCTACACTATAACTTACATGCCACACAAGTACTTTGAATCTTTGTTCAGTTGCTTTACAGAGGAGAGATCCTTGTAAGCGCGCAACGCTCGACCATAGATCTGAAATGAAATCAATCTTAAGCCATAAAGAAAGAAATAAAAGCCTCGAAAGCTCTCACTGTTACCTCTTTTTGTCTGGCTTCTGAGTTCTTCCAGTTGATGCCAAGCCTGGTCATTGCTCTGGCTCTCCTTGTCCATGCCACCAGCTTGTTGATCGGCCACGGCAAGTGTGAAGTCTCGATGTCCCCTCCAGCTGCATCGAGAGAAAACCAGCCACTTTTCTTCCTGCACTGACGTTTCGTCCACAGCTCCAAGTAGAGAGCATCGTCCAGATCCATAAACAGCGGCCTCAAGGACTCAACCTTCGCAGCTTCACCCTCATTGAGCCCAGCATCCAAGTCGCACATCACCGTAGATCGCAAAAAGTCCTCCACGCCGCTGCCAAACGCAGTGTGGAGGTTCCAGTCCACCAAAGGTAAGTTGAGGTCTGAAAAAAACCGTGAGCATCTGCGATACAAAAGAAAGAAAGGAAAGCTCACCGGCATTGGAGTGCTCGACAAGGAATGGCTTCTTGGCCAGGCACAGGTAGAGGTACGTGGAAAGGCTCCTCGGACAAGCGGTTGGAAGATGAAAGCTTGGAGGTCTCACGGTGAGCACAAGATGGCCTCTCTTCTCATACTCGGACAGCCTCACAAACTTCTCCTTGTCACTGCGCGAGCTCACGTCCCAAGTGACAGTGAAGATCGGTAGTTTAGTTGGATCAATCAGCTCCGCACACAGCTCGTCCATGGGAACACCATCGGGCTCCTCGGTGTCGTCAGTGAGGCCGCTGCAGTTGCCAAACGTGCCATCGTTCCCAGGCAAAAAGTCCACCGGGAGAAGAACCAAAACTGGATAGAGCTTGGCGACGTCGTTCTCCCAATCGCGTGCATCCTGCCGGATTTCCTCCAGAACCTCGAGAGCATCATGCATGGATTCCATTTTGCGGGGTGGTGGCAGGAGATGGTGATACGTCTCAGCGAACGTCGCAAGCTCCTCGCCGAGAATCCGGGCGTAATCTTTGATACCGAGGTGCGCCGGAAGAGCGTTCTCTACGAAGACATGGTGGAACTCGCTGAAGCATCCGATGAAGCTGTAAAAATCACCTGCGAGGCATGGAACTCACTAAAGCATCTATGAAAACTGAGCTCACCTGCTGGGGCATGGAGCGCCACTATGAGCCTCAAGCCATAGATTTTTCCTGCGAAGCATTGCCGGCTTGGATTGATCGGCTTCATGGACCGCTTCTCCAACTGAAATCCATGCTTGTTTGCCTGAGCGTATTCCTCTATCGCCGAAGCATCGACCCTGCGTATCGCAGCATTCGGCCAATGCTCGCCCTTCACACAAAATGGTGCTATCACCGGGGCAACGAAAAAGAGCAAAGAATCTTACCAGGGAGCCCATCAACTTCGCTAGGGTTTCCAAGCGGTGACGAGGGTTTTCGTGAGAAAGATGTCTTCTTTCTCTGCGAACGCGACTAAAATAAGTATGCAGCGAGCTTGCACGGTGCTGGGGTGTGGTGAGTGTCTCGCATTTTCTTTAGTGGAGAATGAGATTTATTCCTCGGGCTTGGTTGGGATTGTTCCGGGAAATCGTCGCTGCTTCTCTTTTTACTTGGCTTCTGGTGATAACGGCTTCTGTTTAAAGGAATTGTGATCAGGACAGAGGGCGGAGTTTTTGCATCTACCTAAGAAGAAACTTACGGACTTTGGTAAGAAACTTCTTCTGGCGGACTTAGCTCTTGCGCTTTCTATTTGTCTTAGCACTGGTGAGAAAGGAGATTCAAGACGAAACCGATCGGATCACTGGACGTAGCAAACAAATCTCGCCGGTTCCTATTCATCTCAGCGTTTACTCTTGAAATGGTTTGTTTCATGGTTGATTGTTTCCACGACGAGTTTTAACTTCTTGTGTTTTGTGGCAGTCGTGAATTTGACTATGATAGACCTTCCGGGCTTAACGAAAATTGCTGTTGGTAAGAATTTTCATGACAAATGTTTTAGCTTTTTCTTTTCCTTTTGCTTTGCAGACGGGCAGCCTGAAAGCTGAGATTGAAAACATGGTCAGGTCTTATGTTGAAAAGGTTGGTTTCTGGTTATTATTCAACCTTTGCAGTGCTTAACATCTTGTAACTTCAGGAAAATACGATCATTCTGGCCATCTCTCCTGCCAATCAAGATATAGCAACATCAGACGCAATGAAACTTGCACGCGAAGTCGATCTGACGGGTGAGATTATATTGTTTTCATGGCAATGTTCTAATGAATTAGAACGTTTGCGTTAGGTGACCGAACGTTTGGAGTTCTCACACAGTTGATGGATAAGGGAACCAATGCTATTGATGCAAGTATCTTTATGTTTACTAAACTCTTCAGTTTAGATTGAATCTGAATTTCTACAGGTGTTGGAGGGTCATTCCTATCGATTGCAACGCCCCTGGATCGGTGTTGTCAACCGATCACAAGCAGACATAAATAAAAGTGTCGACATGATCGTCGCCAGACGAAGGGAACGTGAGTATTTTGCTTCAAGTCCAGATTACAGGCATTTGGCAAGCCGCATGGGCTCTGAATATCTTGGAAGAGTTCTTTTGAAGGTGATTGTGATACATTTTGTGGCCGCTCTGAAAAATCTCTTTTGCAGCATTTGGAAGCAGTGATAAAGGCACGCATTCCGAGTATTCAGTCGCTTATAAACAAAACCATCACCGAACTAGAAGCAGAACTTGACCGACTTGGGAGACCTATTGATGCTGACGCAGGGGTAAGATAAAGGACTAGCTCGCTTCATTATATCTGGAGCTGAAGTACTTGCATTTTTAGGGGCAACTGTATACGGTGATAGAGCTTTGCAGGGCGTTTGACCATGTTTTCAAGGCGTATTTTGATGGAGGGTAAGTTTTTTTGTATGAGGAAGCTTTTAGTTGACTTACTTTTGAGTATCGTGTCATATGTCCTGGAGGAGATCGAATCCATAACGTGTTTGATCACCTGCTTCCTGAAGCTGCCGTTCGACAGACATCTTTCCATTCAAACGGTCGGAAAGTTATTGCAGAAGCTGATGGCTATCAGCGCCATTTGATTGCTCCAGAGCAAGCTTATCGGTGACTTATTGAAGTCTTGCTCGGCTATTTGAGAGGTGGCTGTAGGTGCTGTAAGATTTGGTTTGTTATACTTCTGAGTTGAAGAGCATTTTGTACTTTGTTTGCCAGGTGCATTTTTTACTCAAAGAGCTTGTGATAAACGAGACGGTAAAATGTTATTATGTTTGTTTTATATGGGCTCGCATAGGAACTTACGCGCTTTCCAACTTTTCAGGCGGAGTTTCTGCTGCAGCGGAAAGATTCGTGAAGACAATGGACTTCTCCATGTCGCCCTCGTTAGGAAATTTTGTCAGTTGGTAGTGGATATGGTATTAGCAGGGATGCAATGTTTGAGATGGGAATCAACTCGCCAGAGCTGCCTTTTTCACTTCAAGCAATGTAAGCTCGTGTTTTCAGGAGGTTATGAGTTAACAAACTGCATTGGCAGGCGGGAGTGAGTTCGCAGACTCTGACAGCAAGAAACACGACCAAATGTGCCTGGATTTTAGTAATAAGTGGTTTGCGCTGGTTCCTTCATCTCAACTGGTACTTTTGCAAATCGAGATTGATGATATCTAATATTGTCTCCAGGGCGCAAGTGTACTGAAATCTCCGCATATCCTAGGTGATATGAGTGGGGACACATTGAACGATCCTTTATCCGATCGTTACGCCAAGCTCAAGAGCACTATGACTTGCGTGGACAAGGAAAGTGACGATTATAAGACGGTTCAGAAACACCTGGAGAAAACTTACGAGCCAGTCATGCATGACGATGTGGTAAGTTTTGTTTTCCGTTAGCATTGCGCGTGGAACTAAACGTGTTTATTTCGTGCTCAGTCTGTTAGAGGACTTGTCATTGTACAAAGTGCTTCGTTGGTGCGGTACGTAAAAGAAAAAGAAATTCCGGCTTTCATATGCTCTGACTGCGGTAATCACTGGTTTGTCGCAGACCAGGGGGACGAATCCTTCTCAAGTCTGCTGATTTTCTGGAGCATCACCTTGACGAGCTTGCAGCTCTCGAGACTCTGGACAATGGAAAGCCATTGGACTTGCCGATGTCCCTTCGGCTCCTTCGTTCAGGTAGGATCAAATGATGAAGTGCCTGAGGACCTTGTACAGGCTTCGTTGACCAAATCTGTGGCAAGACCATGAAAATTGACGGGCCTTACCACGCGTACACTTTTCTCGAGCCGATTGGTGTCGTGGGCCAGATCATCCCATGGAACTTCCCGCTCATCATGTTTTTCTTGAAGATCGGCCCCGCGAGCAACTCCCTTGAGTGCTCTCTTTTGTGCAAGCCTGCTGAAGGAGGTCTGTAGTTTTTCTCGTTTCTGCTGTTGATCTCTAACTGGAAAACGTGAATTTGTGCTGCAGGCTGGATTGCCTCCCGGCGATCCTTTCTGGTTGGGTTTTAACAATCTTTGCCGATGTCTAGGTAACACCATTCTCTCTTTGCAAAAAGTGTTTTTCATCTCTTTCGTTTTGTGTTCTTTCTAACTGATTGATTCGCCAGGGAATGGTAACAAATCAAACTGGCTAGATTCTTGAGGATTCTACTTCTTTCTTGACACTTTCCTCCCCATCCAGAACAATAGACGACACGGCCTACGCTTTGAAGATCATGGACAGCGTGAGTTGCTCTTGCCGCAACTGGAAGACATCCCAATGAAAGTGCCGGGTCGAAGACGTGGTAGCAATTGATCCACACCGTCCCGGCTCTCAAGGACAACGTCAATCAGTTGGCCGAGTTGAGCCCCTTGGTTACTAGAGCCCCCGGATTCACAAGTTGTGCCATGGACACGATCCGGACATTGAAAACTTTTGTCAGAAAAAGTTTGTTGCTATTCTTTTTCTTTTTCGTACGTTTTTTTACTGATTTGCTGCTTTGCGCCTCAGGGGTATTCTCATTGTAAAACTCCGGAAAGGACAGGAGCTCAAGCTTCATGCCAATTCCAGGAAATGCATTAATGGTCGCGGCAAGCGTGATGTCCACATATCTCATGGAGACGCTGAGCCTGGAGGAGGAAAGAGAATGGGTCGATAGCAGCCCAACCAAAGTCTTTGAGATCAATCCAGGGACACCGCAGGTCAGCCAGTCGAGCTTAGTGTTTTATAAGAAACTAAACCTCAAAGCTTTGTTCCATAGGTGGAAGTGGTCGATCCGACGATCAAGATGGCCTTGATATCCGTGCCATGGATATATATGGCAAGGAGGATTTCAACTTCACAGTGGAATGCTCAAATGTTCCTGAATGCCATCGAGATCCTCCGGAGCAAGCTCGCGTCAAGCTCAGTTTTGAAAGCAACGAGGCAGACGAGCAGTTTGGAGATCTTGGAGCAACATGCGTGGTGGCTTCTAGTGGTTTATTTGTTCCTAGACCAAGGCTCCATCTCCGCCACCTAGCAAAGAGGAGGAATGGTCTCGTCCAAGCAAGGACGAATGGTTTTGGGGTGCCGGGGACTTGCGATAGGTTGCTTGGATCGGAGGTACAATCCCGCGGGGCCGACGTTTTACAATAGGCAGTGCGGGGATATTGTCACCAATAGAAACTGGGGATATTCCTGTTGCCGCCTCCGGAAATGCGTAAGTTCTTGATGATCTGCGGTGAATCGTTCTCGTGTTCTTGTTCTTATATCTATCTTGTCTCTGTCAGCCAAAAAGTGGATCGTCGCTGATGTATATGTGGAGTGCGAGCCGATTGTAAGCCTGTCATTCCGATCGATGATCTTCTATATTTCTTCTTTTGATGATGGATCGTGTTTTCCAGATTGTTTTCGTTGATATTGTCTTGCACTTACCGTCATTTGTTCTTCAACAACAAAGTTCTAAGTTCGAAAGTAAGTGTTTCGCTCTTTCGATTCTCTCAGAGCGGAGCTGATTTTGACGTTTGAAAGCAGGTTTGTGACGGCAGCTCTTTTACTTTGTTGTTTTGGAAGCATGTCTATACGACTATTTTAGTGCTGAGAGGGCCGCTGCCATCTCGTATCGATCAGCTAAGGTGATTTGAGCATGAGCTTACATTCCATGATGAGGATAGAGATGTTGACCGTTCCAGCTCGACGAACGGGAGTTTAACGAGAGTTTTCCGCAATCACTTCAAGTTACTTCAAGCTTTTCATCTTTGCGATGATGGTATGGTATCCTTCCTCTATATTTGCGTCGATTGTGTGTTCCTTATGGGTGATGATTGAGGTCTTGGTAATCTCCAATGGAGTCGCTTTCCAAGATAAGAAATGGAAGGACAAACTTGCTGTTGGCTGTTGACAGAATGACAAGTGAGTTGCATCAACCTCCCCATATTCTTTTTTTCCTTGCAGTTCTAGTAAAGGCCAATGCAGCAGCTCTATGTGCATCCAGCTTGGTGAAGGATGGTTTCCTACCCCCATCCGCTTCCCTACGCCACCAGCAAGCAGGATCACAGATACCGAGTGCTCTGGAACCACCTTAAAAGTCTGCAAGGAATCAAGCAAATCAGCCCCTAAAGTGCTTACCCTTAGTTTCGAGCTTCTAATCGTTGCTATTCTTGCAGGCTGATATGCCAAAACAATATTTGCCTCTTCTAGGACAGTCTATTGCGCTAGACAGGTTAGTGCGGAACAACTTGATCTTCGTTTTGTTGATGCTAGCGCGTTCAGTTTTTATACATTTGCTAACATGCCTGGTGGTTTGTGACCCATCATACAAGCATCTGTTTGAAGGTAACAACATTTTATGCCATGGTGAAATTTGCATGTCTGATCGAACTAGTGGTTTCTCAGTTGTTTCAGGCTATCAGTGATGACTCGATGCTAGCTTGTATCCATGATTCTGCGCGACCTCTTGTCCTCGGCCATGACAACCAGAGGGTGTATGCGTTGCTTACTCGTCTTTCAAATACTCAAACTGTTCGCGTGGTTTTCAGGGACGCCTGGGTACATGGAGCTGCCGTTCTTGGAGTACGTGTTAAGGCCACTATCAAAGAGGTACGCAGATCATACTCGTTCTGGTTTGATAGTAAATTTGACCACAGGCAGGAAGCGATCACTTCGTCAAAAAGACATTAGTAGCTTTTGCAAGAGAACGACTGGGAACAACTCCACGCGCTGGGAGGGCTCTTTGTGTGCTTGTGCTGGCAAACACGCCGTTTCCTATTTGTATTGCCAAATGGGTGTTTACGTTTAAAACAATAAAAATGACATGTCTTTTTATTGTTTTAAATTGCAGGAAAGAAAACTCAAGGCATGCAAAGGCTTTTGTACAAAAGCGTTTACGTGTCTTGAATTTTCTTTCTTGAATCCATGACAAACTTCTTCGTATTCATGTCGCTGGTGATGACACAATCTTCGCTGCAGCTGGTCAGGTAATCCGACAATATATATATATAATCGTCGCTTTACAGTTAGTTTACAGCTCTACTTGACTGTGGCTCGCCCATTAACTCGATCGTTGGCAGCCGTCGGATCGGTGAGAACGTGGCTACCAGCTGCCAGGTTCTAAGAACCCTCTCATCCACGAATAACGTTATTCTATGTGGCCGTTAACGGTCTCGCCATAGCCCGTTAAGGCCGTTCCCTGGGCACGGGCTCGCTCGTTCCCTCCAGAACGCGCTCGCCCTCCTTGATTTTTAACACATTTTATTATTTTATTATAATTGATTTTTGCATAAATACAAAACTGGGTAAGTGGATAAAATCCGCTGGCTTATACCTTGGGTGCAGCTCCCTTTCTCTTCTCTTCTTCCATTTTGGCCTTGATCAGTGAGTATATAGTCACCCCAGCAATGGCAACGCCGGTTCCAATCCCCGTTTGGGTGGAGATTTTGTTTCCTAGAAAAACTCGCGAGTTAGACTCGAGGAGGACTAAGAGAAGAGAAGGAAGCCAAGAGCTTACCGAAAATAACGATAGAGAAACCAATGACGAACACTCTCTTTAGAACGTTGCCGACAGCATGCGTTAGAGGGGCCACTCGCTCCAAAGTGTTGTTAGCAATCTGGGAAAACATTGACAAGCCGCCTTTGATGCAAAAGAACTAAAGTCTTACCTGGTTATACAGATGATAAAACATTCCAACCCAGAAGAGATCGCTCAGGAACTTCACCATTCCAACTTTGGCAATGGCATCTGCAAACCCGTGTTGCAATAGCTTGGGACCCTCCATCTGTGTGAGAGGCAATTTTTTAAATCGTTCACGACGTTTAGCTTATAAACAAGGGGAAAGACTTACCACCACTGCTGGAGGAATGCAGAAGAGCAGAGACAGGATTGAAATGTAGGCATAAACGTTTGTACTGTCCATTCCGGTCTGTAGCAACACGAGAAAGTTTAGAATCCAATGCAACTTTGACATGAGTTACCATGGCTTTCTTCGAGTAGATGTTTCTGTACGTAAATGCAATGTTGGATATCATGGCACTCACGAATCCCGTCCAGTTGAACGAGAGCTCAGTAAGCGATGCCATTGACACACCTGAAATCGGGCCCAGCTTATTACTCCTGTAACCATTGGAATCAACACTTACCAAGGACAACGGGCGTGAGAGAGAGCCAAAGCGGCAGAGAAATTTGCTGCCCCAGTATAAACTGCGAAGCGGCTGCGCTAAAGAATGGCTCCAGTGCTATACAAAGAAGAAACAAGGAGTTCTTAGGACATCCACGACAAAACTATATCGTGCCAACCTTTAATGGTGTGCGTGAACGAAACAGCGACAGCAGCGAAAGACACATTCGTCATGACATGTCCAAGCGCGTGGCAAAACGAAACTGGAGTCAGCAATCCCAGAAGTTGTCCATCAATCGGCTGCACCACAAAGAAGTTCAAGTGAGCCACACGAAAGACACGAAGAGAGAAAAACTTACCGCTCGTTTTGGAGCTCCCACGGCCCAGGAGACCAAGCAATAAGCAACACCAACGATAAGATGGACCACTGACACAAAACTAAGAACGAGTTCATGTCAGGAGATGATAAAAACCTTGTCAGCTGAGGTAGCTTACTATGGATAAGGAAAATAATTGTAGATCTTCTTGTTAAGGATGTTGAAGATCACATTGAGAAAATACCTGCAAGAAGGAAGATCTCATTTGCAAGAGAGAAAAGTGGAAAAGCAAAATAAGGAAGGAAGAAAAAGCATGCCTACCACATAAAGAAGAAGAATCCAGTGACGAGAGCCGGGTATTTCTCCGCAAATCCAGACGCCTCGACAATCTTTGCATCGCCGGAGCTGTCCAAAGCACCGCATTCCAGGTAAAGGTAAAGTAACGAGCAAAGCTCCTCCCATCTAGAAAAGGAAGGAAAATCTCTAAAATCTCGATTCGACTTACTCGGAGGCATCCGAGGCAGCGGCAGCGGAAGCGACGATGCGGGGACGCTTGCTCTCCCAGGTCGAGCTGGAATCCTTCGCGAGCAGCGGCTGCTGGAGGTAGAGGCTCCGGTGGAGCGATAATCCGCCAAACGCCCGATCGCCGGAGGAGGAGAAGGAGAGGCACGGCTTGGCGCTGTAGAGGCGCAATGAGGCGGATTTGGAGGAGAGCAGCGCCGCTGCCGCCGCCGCCGGAGCCAAGCTCGCTGCTGCCATGGCGATTTGGCGATGGCGTCCCTAAGATCGTCCCCCTCTCTCTCCCCTCTCACTTTCCAACCCTTGGACCAAAACAAAACAAGCCTAAAAACCGACGAAGCAAAGGAATTGAATAAGAGTTGCGACCTTGCATGGACGCTTATGGCCCTGGCTATTGCCCAAGGAGCATTGATTTTTACTTTCTACCTCTCTATACGTATTGATCTTGGTCGGCATTGATCTTCCCAATTGCTGAAGAGATGGAAGTGGATCTAGTCAGATATTAGTCAACGACCAAAGACCAATTCTTTTAAAAATATATTTGAATCAACGATCAAACCTAGTCAGCAATAGTCAATACAAGTCAGCACATGAATGTTTTACGTAGAACATGAGCAATCTTTGATCGCCATGGTTCTAAGAAGTTCTTCCATCCTCTAGTATAATCTCTTTCCAGGCAGTCACTCCAAACTCTCGCACGTTCTTGCAAGTTCTCCCAAGCTCACGATCACACCCGTGGCCTCACGCAGTTGCCCGGCAGCAAGTAGCGGAACCTCTCCACATTCCGGAGCAAATGGAGCGGCAAATTCACGGCCGAGTAGCTGCTGGGTATGCTGCCCATCTTCCCGATCAAGTCCCGGTAGTTAAACTCCTCGGGCAGCATGTCAAACAGGTCCCGCCCGCTGCAAATCAAGTCCTGGATCCTCTCCTCGCGCAAAAAGTCGGGGCGCGTCACCCGGTCGGCGTGGCTGTACGCCCGCATCTTGAACGCGATGTCCGCCACGGTGCGGAAGCAGAAGCTGCAGTGCCAGCCCGCGTCCGCCAGCATCGTGTCCGTGACCCGCGAGTGGCTGTACTGCGTGACGCGCGGCTCGAAGACGTGCGCGGTGGACCGCCAGCTTCCCGTGTCGCTACGGTCCTTGTGCATGGGGAACTCGAACGAGTAGAGGAAGTTCCTGAGCTGGAGGTGCGTCACGGGCGGTATGCCGTCGCAGCTGCGCAGGAGGTCCACGGTGTGGCTGCTGGGGATCTCGTCCACGTCCGACATGAGCAGGAGATCGCCCGCGCGGATCCCTGCGGTGCGAAAGAGCTCGTTCATCCGGTCGCGCTGGTACGCCTCGTTCACGTAGGGCCGCACGCCGCACGGTAGCCTGGGGGTCCGGATGGCGGAGTAGACGAGCTTGGGCTCCGCGAAGTCGAAGCGGCCGCCGGGCTTGCGGTTGACGCCGAACCACAGCGGCTTGGAGATGCCGGTGAAGGTGCCATTGGATTCGAGCAGCAGGAACTTGGTCACGTAGGGGTCGATCTCGCGCCAGCGGATCTCGAGGAGGTCGAGCTCGTTGTTGAAGATGATGGCGTCGAAGACCCGGCGGGGGCGCTTGCGGAGCTTCCAGCCGTGGAGCGCGCACAGCTCGCGCATCGACATGTTGTGGGCGTAGTAGTGCGGGATGAAGGCGAAGCTCCGCGGCGGGGTGTCCCAGATGGGGCGCAGCATGTACTTGACCGTGTGCCAGTTTGCGAAGACGAGGAGCGCGACGCTGGACAGCACGAAGATGGCGAGCATGACGCGGAAGAACCAGAGCTTTGTCATGCTCGACCTGTGCTGCCTCGCCATCTCCTCCTTCCTCTTCCTCTTTCCCACTCTCTCTCGATCGATCAATCTCTCCTCCTCTCACTTACTCTCGATCCATCTCTCCTCAGGATGTCTTGCTTTTCCTTCTTCTCTATTTGGCTTTTCACAGAGAGGTCGTTTGGAGATTTCCCAAGCCTAACTGACTCGCGTTCCCGGGAACAGGAAACGATTTTTGCGGGATTATTTTTTACTTTCAACTCGAAATAACTGTCGACTTTGAGACATGAAAGGATCCGTGGCGCAATGGTAGCGCGTCTGACTCCAGATCAGAAGGCTGCGTGTTCGAGTCACGCCGGGTTCAACATTTCAATTTTTCCTTTTCTCGTTTTGGCGTTGCCGTGGCATTGACGAGGAGGAAACCATAACTTATCAGTGTTCTTTACATCTACGTAATATCAACCACAGGAAAAATGATTCTCCTTAGCAAAGTCAGCACCTCTCTCTTTCACTTCTCTTCGTAGCGAACTTGGACTATGTACTGCAACTTCACCTGGAAACAAACCACATTGTCTTGCTTGAAAACCAGGGAAAAAGGATAGATTACCTGCTTTGGATCATAGACAACATACTCGTTGTAGTCGAGTGTGCAATCGTCACGACCAGATGACTTCAAGGCACCGCAAGGAACCGTGATGTTGTTTTTCCATTTGAAGTACTCTGATGAATCCGGAAGCTTCTTTCCCAGGGCCTTGATCGCAACCTTCTCGCGCTCGTACTTGGCAACGTCCTGCGAAGGGATAGAATTAAAATGAGAAGGGTGCTTGAGAGTCTTTACTAACCTCTTCTGGTTTTGGAAGCTCGAGCACATTATCGCCCAGGCCAACGACGGCCAGCATCAAAAATCCTTCTGGTCGGTCCACTCCAGTGAAGGCGTAGCTAGCTGCTTTGCACGACGCGTCGGTGCAGTAGAGACCCTTGCCAAACTGAGAAGCAAATGAAACGTTATGGCAGTCGCACAAAATTGGACAATTCCAATACCATGTAGCCAGGAACAGGAGCGTTGTAGATTGCCGGCTGCATTCCCTGAGCCAAAGTGCTGATAAGATTGCAAGTCCTTGTTCCTAGAAATACCTCCGTCAGTACGTACGAAAGCAGGGAAAAAAAACCTCTTTCACGTACCGCACCAAAGAAGCACTTTGTTTTTCAGCTTGTCGACTTCTTCGAACGAAGGTCCCGCACTGCTTTCAACCATGAATAACTCCTCCATGACAATGCTGACAGACTGAGAAAGTAACAAAAAAACGTTTAGTTACGCGCTGTGCTAACGGAAGAGACAACTTACCACATCGTCATACTTAACTGGCTCGTAAGTTTTCTCCAGGTATTTCTGAACCATCTTATAATCGTCACTTTCTTTGTCCACGCAAGTCATGGTGCTGTTAAGCTTAGCGTAGCGATCGGATAAAGGATCGTCCAATGTGTCACCAGTCATATCACCTATGATATGTGATGCCACTGATATCGCTTTCAGAGATTCCAGTACGCTTGCACCCTGGGAAACAATATTAGACATCATCAATCTTCGATTTGCAGAAGTACCAGTTCGGTGAGGTGAGCAATATCACTGATGACGGTCGGGTGAGTTGAAGGAACCAGCGAAAACCACTTGTTACTGAAGTCCAGGCACATTTGTTCGTGTTTCTTGCTGTCAGATTCCTTCCGCAAGAAGTCTGCAAACTCCAAGAGGCACTCCTCGCCTGCCAGTCCAATTTGTTAAATCATAACCTTCTGTTAACACGAGCTTACATCGCTTGAAGTGAAACTCCGAGAGACTTCCTAGAGGTAGCTCCGGCGAGTTGATTCCCATCTCAAACATTGCATGCCTGTTCATAACACCGAAAGTTAACAAACTGCGAGAAGCATTAAACCCGTAACAAACCTGTAGACGGCTTGACTGAATAGGCACTTGCAAAATCGGGCAACTTTTGGATCGAGTTTGCAATGCACAGCAACAACACCAAGCTGCTGGTCTTGCAGTCCTCCTGCCCTCGCGTCGCACACATCATCCTAGAAGAATTGCATGATTTACGACAAAATGTTCTCGACATACCATGTCCACAGGATAGAACTTTGAACGCTTCTTTGTGAACTTCTTCTCTCGTTCCCATGCTTCAAACTCGTTTCCAGTTATCTCTTTGAACAATGCAGCAAAATTATGGATAGCTTTGTTGACATCAGTCTGCTCGTCCATCCTTTCGTTCACAGGCACGCCAGTCGCAAGTCGACCTCTCTTGTGGTAAAAATAGAGAGTGCCATCCGGCACTTGAACAAGCTGCTGGGCGGCACAACTGAAAGAAAGCACACACCATACATTATCCCAAAACCCGCTTAAATGCACTTACTGATTGAGGCCACTTGTCTGATCGCAGATAGAGAATGCGCAATTGTAGACAATCCCTTCGTGTTCAAACACACGCCCTCCTTCTTTGTCGAGCTCGCTGTCCTTGTGAACATACTTCTTGCCCGCCAGTTTTATCTGCAAAAAGCGTACAACAGGCTTGTGAATGTAAACCACGGCAACCAGAGATTTACTTCATCAGTTAAGTAGGTGCTACTGTCCACGTTTTGATCTGCAGCCACACCTTGGTCCACCTGTTGTTTCTTCGCAGCGCGTTTGTCGCCCTCAGCTTGAGCGCCGAAGAGGTAAGGCGCAAAATCTAAGACTTCGTTCTTTGATAAACAATCCTGAAGCCAGGATTCCTTGACGACAGGAATGTTTTTGGACCTGGAGGCTCAGACCGGAAAGTCAGATTGAAAGTAGAGCGATAGCAAAACCTGGCGTCGCCTATCTTCGCGTAGACACCGCTTGACAAGTCGCTCTCAGCTACTACCAAGCAAGTTATGCCTATACATTGAATGAAGTGAGAAAGAAGTCTACTTGTTGCCCAAAAAGTCACCTTCTTTCAGAGCGTGCGCAACCTTGCCACCGTGTTTTTCGAAGTCCCCTCGCAACTTGTACTGATATAAGAAAACGTTAAGGCCCCTTGAACGAAAAGAAATGACAAAACCTGCGGACGTTTAGTCCGGCCAGCGAGTAAAATATGCATTCCAGAAAACGGTTTTCCGGGAGCAGGCTTTGCCGAATCTTCCGTATGCCGCACAGGCCTCTTTTCGGTATCGTGTTCTTGCTCCCACTGTACAAGGTTTAGCACTTGAAACCCAAGACGTTTAAACTTCAGCGAACCTTGGTTATGTAGTCATTCTTCAGCTGTTTTGGAATCTTGAGCGGCTCTTTCTTGCGTGGAACATTCTTTGTAGAAAAGCCACATTTGGACCACTCGGAAATGTAGCCAGTGCAAGTGTACTCGTGAACTGCGAACTTCAGCGCACCACCGCAGCTTGGGCAAGGCTCCAGCGGCCCGTACATCATTTGATCAGCACTAAAATGCAATTTATAAAAGAAAAGTTAAGAAAGAAAAACCACAAGAAGGAAAGCCATTCGTCATACCAATGCTCGTAAACGGAGATGGAAGAATCCATCTCCTGGGCGTTCTCGGAAAGGATCGCCCTCGCCTCCTCCTCGGACACATTGCTCTTGAGCTTCTCCACAAACTCGTGGAAGTTCTTGACGTCTTGCTCCCGGCTCTTGGCGTCGCCACCACCGCCAGTCTTTTGCTTCTTGAGCTGCTTCTCGTCATCCATGGCCTGCTTGCCCCGCACCTCGGCGGATCTCGTCCCCACCCTGCTCATTTTCTCTGCCTCCCTGGAAAAATTGTGTCAGCTAAAGCTCGAGTAAGGGAAATAATCCGGGGTTTGGCGCTGCTATGTGTGCATGGTGTCTACACTCGGCTCGGCGTCACGTGTCCCGTGGACGTGGGCCAGTCCATCTTCGTCAGCTGGCAAACCCCGTTTAAACGCTCCGGCTTTACGCAGCACATATTAAGTAGTGCGTAGTAATGCATATACGTATCCCTGGAAAATCGAGCAGATTGTAAGAATCGAAACAAAGCTATACAACCTACTACGCTCACGCTGGAACATCGTTGTAGTAAAATACAGTCGAGCTTGGAAAGAAGAGCACTGTTTACTCGTAAAGCTATTGTGTATTACGTCAAATTCGTTAACAGAAGAAAGTAAGAAACTAAAGAATGACCTCATTTATCCCAGACGACTGCGTCTATTTCATCCCGCGCGCTTTTATAGAGGTCGAGCCTCTTGCCGCAAGCCGAGCGACGTTCCATGAGCCCCGGATCCTCGTCCAGCATCTGTGCCAGCTGCTTCCCCTGCGGAGTTTGTACAGGAAATTTGTATGAGATAAACAAGTTTCGAGGCTGAAGGTTTCCTATCTACCTCTCGCTTGCCGATCTGTGCGTAAAAGTTGTGGAGCAGCGAGCGCTTGGCTTCGCGAACTTGACAGTGAACAACGGCTTTGGGAACAGCGTTCTTGAGCATTTCGCAGACCATGTGAACGTATTGCAGTACGTTGGATCCTGAAAACGCAAGCGATGAGCATTTGTTATGTTTTCAGCTTGGTTACGAACCTATTCGGCGCAAATGAGCTTCCCCATAACGGTCGGCTGTTGTATTGTTCGGATGTCCTTTCTCGACTTCCTGGGGGAGTTTACGGAAGTACTCCACAGTCAGATAGCCGGCCTCCATATCCACTAGCGACTGACAAAATTTCCTACTGTCTTCACGAAACCTCTCTAAAGCCTCCACTGCTGCAGCAGACAACTCCGCTTGAAAAGTTGGAAAGCGCTTAAGTTCCTGAAGGCGTAAACTTGTGAGCACATATAAAATTAACATCATAGCATTTTACCTGGGTCTCGTTTATAGCTTTCCTCACAAGCTCTTTCAGTATAAAATGCACCTGAAAAACAATGCACAAAATGCTCTCAACTTATAACTATAACAAATAAAAACTTACAGCATCTACAGCCGCCTCTGCTGGTCCTCTCAAATAACCAAGCGAACCTTCAATAAGTCGCCGATACGCTTGCTCTGGAGCAATCAAATGAGGCTGATAGCCATCAGCCTCTGCGATAACTTTCCGAACGTTTTGAATGGAAAGATGTCTGTCAAACGGCAGTTTCTTCACAGCTGCAGGTAGTTGGTGATCAAACACGTTATAGATTCGATCTCCTCCAGGACGTCTGACGCGATAATCAAATGTAAAGCCAACTAAAAGCATTCCCATAAAAAACTTACCCTCCATCTAAATACGCCTTGAAAACATGGTCAAACGCCCTGCAAAGCTCTAACACGGTATACAGTTGCCCCTAAAAATGCAAGTACTTCAGCTCCAGATATAATGAAGCGAGCTAGTCCTTTATCTTACCCCTGCGTCCGATGCAATAGGTCTCCCAAGTCGGTCAAGTTCTGCTTCTAGTTCGGTGATGGTTTTGTTTATAAGGGATTGAATACTCGGAATACGTGCCTTTATCACTGCTTCCAAATGCTGCAAAAGAGATTTTTCAGAGCGGCCACAAAATGTTTCACAATCACCTTCGAAAGAACTCTTCCAAGATATTCAGAGCCCATGCGGCTTGCCAAATGCCTGTAATCTGGACTTGAAGAGAAATACTCACGTTCCCTTCGTCTGGCGACGATCATGTCGACACTTTTATTTATGTCTGCTTGTGATCGATTGACAACACCGATCCAGGGACGTTGCAATCGATAGGAATGACCCTCCAACACCTGTAGAAAATCAGAGTCAATCTAAACTGAAGAATTTAGTAAACATAAAGATACTTGCATCAATAGCATTGGTTCCCTTATCCATCAGATCCAACTTTGTGAGAACTCCAAACGTTCGGTCACCTAACGCAATGTTCTAATCCATTAGAACATTGCCATGAAAATAATATATCTCACCCGTCGGATCGACTTCGCGTGCAAGTTTCATTGCGTCTGATGTTGCTATATCTTGATTGGCAGGAGAGATGGCCAGAATGATCGTATTTTCCTGAAGTTACAAGATGTTAAGCACTGCAAAGGTTGAATAATAACCAGAAACCAACCTTTTCAACATAAGACCTGACCATGTTTTCAATATCACCGACAATGCTTTCAGGCTGCCCGTCTGCAAAGCAAAAGGAAAAAGAAAAAAGCTAAAACATTCGTCATGAAAATTCTTACCAACAGCAATTTTCGTTAAGCCCGGAAGGTCTATCATAGTCAAATTCACGACTGCCACAAAACACAAGAAGTTAAACTCGTCGTGGAAACAATCAACCATGAAACAAACCATTTCGAGAGTAAATGCTCAGATGAATAGGAACCGGCGAGATTTGTTTGCTACGTCCAGTGATCCGATCGGTTTCGTCTTGAATCTCCTTTCTCACCAGTGCTAAGACAAATAGAAAGCGTAAGAGCTAAGTCCGCCAGAAGTAGGAGTTACCAAAGTTTCTTACCGAAGTCCGTGAATTTCTTCTTAGGTAGATGCAAAAACTCCGCGTAGTCAGGCCCATCCTCTGTCCTATGCAACTGTAGCACTAGCGGCCTCCTGGTCACAATTCCTTCAAACAAAATGCTGCTATCACCGGCGCCAAGAAAAAGACCAAAGAATCTTACCAGACCCTCTGGGCAAGAAATCGCGCCCAACAATGCTCTCCAACACCGATGATTTCCCGGAGCTCTGGAACAATCCCGGAATAAACTTTCATTCTCCACTAAAGAAAATGCGAGACACTCACCTGGCCTCCCACCACAACCACGGACGGCAAAGATTCCCAGAGCGTCGGCAGCGCGTTGTTCCCCCCATAATCCCCCAGCACCGTGCAAGCTCGCTGGATCCGATTGATAAGCCCGATCAAGCTCTCCATCCCTGAGAAAGAAGAAATCCCTCCCACGAATGCGAGACGCCGGAGATAGATCCCTAGCCTAGATCAGATCTGAGAGCGCGGGATCGAAATCTGCATTGCCGCCCAGCTCCAACGCTCTCTCCGCGTCGTGCCTAGTAAAATAAAACCCTTATTTTCTCCCATCGCCATATACGCCTGGTTTAAAGAGGAGATGACCGGTTGGAAGAATCTCCCAGTCTCTTTTTAAGAACGTTGCTGTGTCTATTCCAAGCACAACCAAAGTGGGCGAGGAATCCACATCAAAGAAGAAGCACGAAAAAAAAAAACTCTTCCATCCAGAAACTGTGATTTCTTCTTTTTTTGCTAGAACTTCTTTGCTAGAACCGAGCTTTGCGCTTTCTTCCAGTGTATTTGGTGTCTCTGGGAACTTCATGCCCGGCTTTTCGGCGTTGTTCTTTCTTGCGGAGAATCCAATCGCGTCCTTTTTTGTTCTTCTTCTCGAGCTTGCTTCTCTTTGCGGGTCTTTCCCTCCCGGAGAATTTCACCTGAGTGTCACAGAAACTTGAAGTTTAGTGTCTAAGGTATTTTCGCGTACCGTTCTTGCATCTTCTTCTTCATCATCCTCGTCAATCTCGTTGTCTTCACTTTCGCTTCCTCCGTCCTCGCCCTTGGGTTTTGGAAGTACGCTGGGAGGCCCAGATACCAGACAGAGAAAATACTTCTTCGCGCGAGAGCTGGAGGCATGGAACGTTAAGTTTCTCAAAGTTGAAAGGAAACTTATAGAGCTTACCTGTGAGGATAATCCACCACAAGACCGCCCGAGAAGCCACAGCGCATAGCTGCGGATGTGATCAACTCAAGCTGCACAGTGTTCTCGGGATAGATCTGGAGCACTGCTCTGGCACCTCTCGCTAGACAATGGAAGAGCGCCGTAAAGAAACATCTAAAACAACGCGAATTACTTGAAAGTTTGAAACACGAAACGCTTACTTCAGCCTCTTCCGCGGATCATTGCACGACTTATCGGCGTTGCACAGCCACTGCTCACCTAGCGAAGATCAGGTCCAACATGGAATAAAAGAGAAAGAAAGAAGGAAAAAGAGAGAGAGGACTCTACCTGGACAGCAGAAATGCTGATCGCTCCATCAAACACTCCTGGCCGTAGTCCTAATCCCTGCAAGCATTCGCAAAGTCAAGAAGAATCGTAAGAAATGAGAGTACCTGTCCTATGTCTCCTAGAAGTAAATCACCGTCCGCTTCCCGTTCTAGAGCAACTTCTGGAAGAAAAAAAGTGAAAAGAATGTCAAAACCAAGAAATCCTTCTTCTTTGTCCTAGATCACCTAGCATCGATTGTGAAATGTCCATTCCTATCCAGTGATGACCTTTCTCGCTCAAACTTTCTCCACTCAAGCCCGATCCACAACCTGCTCGAAGAAGAGAATCAATACGAAGAAAACAATGCAAGGAGAGAAAATACCAATGTCAAGAAGAAGCTTTGGTTTGTCATCAGGCAAAGCGAGAAGCTCCATAGCCCTCTCTGTCAGCTTTGCCTTCACAAAATTCACGAATAGCTTAAGTGTATGCTCCCAATACCACGCATTTACCTGGATATGGATGATCCGAGACGACGTCGTGTATTTTCGCGACTCGGATTCATTGTAGAAGAGCTCCGGAGGCGCCTGGCGCTCTGGCCGCGCCATAAACCCTAATTCTTAGTGTCCACAAACCAAGAACCCTAAAATATCAGGATGAAGATGGGGCTACTCCAATTGCCGTCTTCTTTCTCGTATCTTCTCTATAATCCACACCATCGCTCCTCCGCACGATCACCAGCATTTCCATCTGGCATTACTTGCTCGGCAGCGCGAGTGGAGCGAGCGGCGGCCTCGAGAAGGAGAAGATTGGTAGAAATTGGCGCAGTCTCGGACGAGAAATTCCGGACGATTGCCGCGGCGGCGGTGGCCCTCCCGATTGGAATGGCAGCGATGGCGGTCTTTGGAGCGTTTCTACTCCAGCGCCAAATCAGGATGGAAGCATTGCGGGACGTAAGTATCAACTAGGAGAAGAAATCGTGCTGACAAGAGTTTCTTTCTTCCAGGGAGAAGAATTTATTAAGCTGGTCGAGGGTGGAATGGACGAAGAGACTGCCAAGAACACAATTCTCAGTAGAATCGAGATCATAGGACCGGACCTCAGGAGCGAGTTTAGACGCAAACGTCCGCAAATTCAAGACAAGATCGAGCAGGAGCAGCAGCAGGACGAGCAAGAGCAAGAACAGGAGCAACAAACCGAGGAGCCCGAGCTGGACACGAAGATTCAAACGCCAGTGACGATGATGCGAGAAGAAAACTAAAATCTGAATGGACTGATTGATCCATCTTAGTTGGCGGATTGGAGGATCCTCTCTGCGACCAGCATGTCGTCTGGTGTAGTTACCTGTAAAACTATCACATTTACTGAAAGAACCACAAAGAGAAGAAAGGAGTGACTTACTTTCAAGTTGGAGTAAGAGCCCTCTGTGATGAACACTGGACGCTTCAAAAACTCCACAATGGAAACATCATCTGTGACCTCCAATCCATCCCTGCATCAAAACCAAGTTCTTTTCACGGCCAACAAAAGAACTGTACGCTCTTGCTCACCTCTCAACAAGTCCGAATCCCTGACGAAGTAGTGATGGTTCTATAGCCTGCAAGTTAAAGCTAGTAAGTGAGGGAATGTTTCATCGAGTTTTACCTGAGGTGTTTGCATTTCCCACAAGTTCTGTCTGTTCAATGTCTTTTTGACGAAGTGATCGCTTCCTGCCTGTGGTCAAATTTACTATCAATCCAGAACGAGTATGATCTGCGTACCTCTTTGATAGTGGCTTTAACACGTACTCCAAGAACGGCAGCTCCATGCACCCAGGCATCTCTCAAAACCTGAAAACCACGCGAACAGTTTGAGTGTTTGAAAGACGAGTAAGCAACGCATACACCCTCTGTATGTCATGCCCAAGGACAAGAGGTCGCGCAGAATCATGGATACAAGCTAGCTTCGAGTCATCACTGATAGCCTGAAACAACCGAGACAACACTAGTTCGATCAGACATGATAAGACCCAAGCAAATTTCACCTGGAGCCCGCTGAAAACAGAATCTTGTCTCTCCCTGCCAGGTAGAGCAAATTTTACGACTATCTTGATGTTTTTGCTAGCTTCTGAGAAGTAAACGTCTTGAAAAAATGATCAAACTGGCATAATGTTTGTTACCTTCAAACAGATGCTTGAATGATGGGTCACAAACCACCACAACCTCCTTAACTTCAGGCATGTTAGCAAATGTATAAAAACTGTGGCAAACGCGCTAGCATCAACAAAACGAAGACCAAGTTATTCCGCACTAACCTGTATAGCGCAATAGGCTGTCCTAGAAGAGGCAAATATTGTTTTGGCATATCAGCCTGCAAGAATAACAATCGCGATTAGAAACTCACACAAAAGGGTAGAAAGAGTCAGACTATACCCCCATCCGCTTCCCTACGCCACCAGCAAGTAAGATCACAGATACCGAGTGCTCCGGAACCACCTTAAGAATTTGCAAGGAATCAAACAAATCAGCTTCTAAAGGGCTGGAAATCAAGAAACCAACCTCAGAGTCTTCCTTCACCAAGCTGGATGCACATAGAGCTGCTGCATTGGCCTTTACTAGCAATCTTGGAACTGCAAGGAAGACAAGAATACTGGGGGTTGATCCAAAACTTATGTTCCATGAGAACCTGAGCGTGTCAGCAACACACTTTGCTTCCGAGAACAAGCACCAGCAGCACCACAAGGAGCAGCAGAGGAGAATTCACTCTGATATTGAAGCTTGGATTGCCCACCGCTCGAAAGGGGTACTATGATTCCGGGAGCCACAGCCGCCATAGCCAGAGCAGTGATGAAAACCCGATTGGTCAAAGTTGAGGTTGAGGGTTTGCCCACAAACTGTAGTATAAGAACAACTTCCAGAAAAATGTCGGGGCTGCAGATGCTGCTACTAAGACCATACTTATGTTCGCGCTAGTGTTCAAAACAACTAACAATCAAACGTAGTCATTTCATCAACAGCCAACAAGAAGTTTTCGTCTTCCATTTCTTACCTTGCAGAGCGACTCCATTGGAGATCAGTACCAACACCTCAATCACCAACGCGATATGCGGGGAGAAGTCCCATATCTGCACGAAGCAAGGAACACATAATCGACATACTCGTCGTGCAAATGCAAAGGAAGGATACCATACCATCATCGCAAAAATGAAAAGCTTGAAGTAGCTTGAAGAAGTGATTGCGGTAAGGATGTCCATTAAACTCGTCGAGCTGGAACGTTTCTTTGTGAAGAATCTGTGCATGATCCAGATGCCTGTGATATAGCTACTGAAAGTCACTGCTGCTTTGGCCAACATCTATATCATCGTCACGGAATGTAAAGCACAACTTCTAGATCAAATTGCTAGATCACCTTAGCCGATCGATACGAGATGGCAGCGGCCCTCTCAGTGCTAAAATAGTCGTAGAGACATGCTTCCAAAACAACAAGTAGAAGAACTGCCATCACTACGACCTGCTTTCAAACGACAAAATCAGCTCCCCTCGAGAGAATCGAAAGAGCGAAACACTTACTTTCGAACTTAGAGCGTTGCTGTTGAAGAACAAGTGCCGGTAAGCCTCTGGCTTGTGCAAGACAATATCAACGAAAACAATCTGGAAAACACGATCCATCATCAAACGCAGAAAGTAGAAGATCATCGATCGGAATGACAAGCTTACAATCGGCTCGCACTCCACATATTCATCAGCGACGCATCCACATTTTGGCTGAAAAACAAAACAGAGACAAGATAAAGAACACGAAGCGATCGAGAACGATTTCCCGCAGATCATCAAGAACTTACGCATTTCCGGAGGCGCAGATTGCCCGGCGAGTACTGCACAAAGGTGCCGATCACGGGCGATCCACAGTGCACGCAGCGCATCCTCGCGGAGAATCAAAACCCTAGACCCCGCGGCACAAGAGCACAAAATATTTATTTCCATTGCATTTGCAGAGACTCGGGGTAAGAGAAAGAATTGCTATTAACACGAGTAGATAGTAAAACTAGCTGCCAAGAAGCTCGGTAAATTCTCCCCGCTAGTAGCCACACAAGCCATAGTCGCAGCGCTTGTTCTTACACACGCGGCCACATTTGCCGCAGTTGCGACTGTCGCGAAGGAGATTGACGCAGCGACCTCTGCAACAGGAATATCCCCAGGGGCATCTATTCCAGCAGCTCCCACAGTAGTTTCTATTGGTGAGAATATCCACGCACTGCCTGTTGCAACACGTAGGCCCGGCGGGATTGTACCTCCCATCCAAGCAAATCGCGGGCTTCCTATCGCAAGTCGCCGGACGTCTTCCACCCCAGAACCACTCGTCCTTGCTTGGACGGGACCATTCCTCCTCTTTGCTAGGTGGCGGAGATGGAGACGTGGTGGTGCTGGCGAGAGAGGACGAGATCAAGGACGAGAGGAGGAGAATCGCGAGGAATCCCATCAGCCTTTGCCTCGATCCCGCCATTGTTTCTTCCGGATTGATAGATCCTGCGAGAAAATCGATAGATCCTGCCAGAGAATTGGTAGATCCTGCGAGGAAACGAGAAAGCCTTTGCTGTTTCGATGCATTGCGTGTGGAGTTTATATACACCACACCCGCGGAGACGTCTGGTTTCCGGGGCCACAAAACATGGCATACTTGTAACGAACGATCATGCACGGCGTGCGAGGCCACGATCGCCTTGACAATTTGCAAGGAGACCCCCTGGAAATGATCAAACGGAAAGGTCAAAGGGGTCGCATATTGGAAATCGTGTCCGTGCTATCACAGCTCGCTTGTCCAAATTGGAACCATGGAAAACAATGTTTCCTCTCATCACAGTACAACATCTCAGTACTTACAACTTTTAGAATGCTCATGTTCTCCATATAATCAAAACATCTCTACATTTTGCAGCTAGCCAAGTTGCTAGATACTAGCAAAAATGCCCTTACAATGCTCAGAAGACATGGTTTTTAAAAACTAGCATCTCAGCATGAGAAAACATGGTTGTTCTAAACTTTCCATCGATCTAAAATCTTCTCGAGCTGAGAGAAGAATTGGGAGCGATCAACCAATCACACCATCCCACATCCACTGGAATGCCTCCACTGGAGATAGAGCAATCCCGCACGGTAGTGAGTGTACGCCCCGGCCACCACCAACACGTGGAAAAGCTGGTGGCTATGGCCGGCGATATCAAACCTCCCGGGCTTCCACCTCTCAGGAACCCTAGTCACGTACACGAGCGCGCCCATGCCGTAGAACAGCCCCATAAAAAGCTCATAGACGGTGGTCAACACTATGACCGGCTGGTTGCCATGCAGGAAAATCTTGTGGACCACCGGCGCCACGCCCGACACGCCCATGGCCACAAACAGCGCCGCCCTAACGGGGCGATAGGCGGCCGTCTGGAACACCGGGAGCAGCGATACCAGTATGGCGAGAACGCCCAAAAGCGTTATCACCGCCAGGTAGAGGTTTCTCCACAGCGGCGAGCACATGAACGAGTAGTAGACCGGCGGATAGAAGGAGGTGGAGATGAGCGATGCGATCCCTGCGTAGTCGAGGCGGAGGAGCAAATACGAGGCCCTCTCCGAGTGGCAGCCCAGGAGATGGGCGACGCTGCTGGAGAAGAGGCAAAACATGGCACCGCCCAGGAATGTGTAGATCGGCCAGCGCGCGGTCGGTGCGTGGAGGAGCTCGGCCACCAGGGTGGGGATTTCCACCGTCAGGATCACGTTGATGGTGAGGAAGACGAAGAGGAGGAATCCCACGCAGTGCCTGGAGCAAGGAAAGGGTGCCGTCAGTCCCAAGGGCCGAAAGATCATGGAATCGAGCGATGGAAAAAGGGGGAAAGGGATCGCGATACTTACGTCCAGAAGTTGAGTGTCTCGTTGTGGATGGAGAACATGCTGAGGATCGTCTGCTTGAGCGGCCAATTCACCCTGTAGTGCTTGAGGATGTACTCGTTGTCGCGGAGATAATCGGGGAGCGCGTGGTAGTCCACCAGACTGTAGGCCTTCTGGAGCAATCGCCGCGCCTTGGATGGGCTCCCGGGGCATTCATCGCGATCACTGGCAGCCATTGGGGACATCGTCCCTTCCAAACCCTATACTGCCAAGGGAACCGCTTTCCCCTCTTTAAAACGCGAAGTCCCCTTTAGGCATATGCCAGGAATGTGCACGGGGATATGCGTCCTTTAATGGTTTATATGCCTTTTGATTCGAACTAAACTATAAAAAGGGTGTAAGGGTTTGTAGAGCAATGGCGTGCGTTCTCGTGAATGGGCTCCCCGAATGGGAAGTTGACAAGGTGATCGACTCGAGGATCAATGCCTGCAACAAGCGCGAGTATAGGGTGCTTTGGAGGGATTGGCCAGCGGAAACGGCGTCCTGGGAGGTGGCCGAGAATTTGGAGAACGCGCCGTTGAAGGTCAAGGAGTACTGGGCGAGCGCGCCATTCAGGTACAGGCGAGGCAAGATTTTTTATGTTGATCCCGAGTCTTTGGCAACTCCAGCGATAGTGCCAAGGGAGGTAGAGGTGGAACGAGCTGTGAGGGAGATTGTGGAGAGTCCTGTGGCAGAAGGGATGAAGAACCGAGCCCAGGAACTCCAAGCCGCTGCGACTTCTCCACGCAAGAGAAGAAGGCTAGTCCCTTTGGCGCAGAAGCAGGCAATGGCTTCGTCCTCAAGCTCGAGCCTTAGGAACAAAACGTTCTAAATTCCAGGAACGTTTTAAATTTCAAGAACAAAATGTTGTAAGCGTAGCTTATTTTGGATTAGAGCTACACAAAAAATCAGGTTCAATTCCCGCAAGCAGACACTCACTTAGAACTATATTAGAATTTTTTTAGGAATTATTAATTTTAAACATAATATGATTACCTATCTTTAATATTGAAAGCAAAAAAGAACTAATGTATTATGGGGTAGAACTTAAAAAATATAGCAATAGTTAAGTAATTTATTAATTTTCTAGAGATACAATTTATAGAAGGCTGCTTTTGTTGATATAAAAACATTTATTAATCTGAGTGTCAATTTTTCATCTGGTTATTTATTGTGAAAAATATAATTTTATTTTTAATAAATTAACTGCAAAAGTGTGAGTCAATTGCTAGGTCCTTAAGATGCTCAGAAAATATATTTACCATCCCATCCATTTACTGTTCACAAAAAGGGATGTTCAAGAAAGAACACATTTCAAATAAAAAGAATAAAAATGCATTTTAGTGAACCAGTCATGAAATGGAAAGTGGCAATGTGCTCAAAACACAATAAAACCACCTAAAAGGAGTACAAGGTAATCTTTTTTGTGCTAAGCTTTTACAAAATTGAAACCTCTTCCTCACTAGTACTTCTTTGGAGTAGTCACTTAATATTTTGTCATCATGATCATCAGCAGCACATGCTCTAAATTCTATGGCACTTCCTAGAATGTGGTATTAGTTGGAGGAAAAGCTTTCAATCATATCAAGCCGCACACAGATAAGAATGCCAAAGTTCATCACTTTGGCACACAATGTCTTTGTTCTAGCTTGAGCTCTAAAAAAAGGGGCATTTCTAGAAAGTACCACGTTTTCACATCAAAAGCATTAAAAGTAAGTGCATTTTAGTGAGTATGGGAAGTGTGAAGGGTGCTCCACATACAATCAACTTGGTATAAATATTGAAGCCAATTGACAAGAGATTTAGAGCAAACATACACTGGACTCCACCAGAAATGAGAAGTAGCAAATGTCATTGTTTATTGGTTCTAGTTGCTAATGAATAATAGCAATATCTAATGTGCTAAGTTGACGATTGCAAGGCAGACTTGAGCAATACAAATGACTATCACAAGCACCATATAGTTTGCAAGATGCATTTTAAGGCCCCAAATGGTCACATGTCATGAAACTTGCCAATTTTGCAACTGAAGCCTTTCAGATTTAGGATTTTTATTTTAAATTAAAAACTAATAAAGTTGAAATTGAAAAATGATATGAAAACAAAAAAAATAATATTTTTCCATTTGACAATTCTTCTCTCCACTGATTAGGGCAAAAACTTTGACACCCTTCTAGCCCTTTTTGAGCCATTTTACCTTGTAAAAATGGGTGTTTTTTCAAAATGCCCTTTAAATACTAAGTAGAAATTATCAAAAGAAATTTTATGAGAAGGTAGCTCTTGTTCTTCAAGAGCAATAGAACAAAATATTCTTTTTCTGTCATAATGAACAATAAATATTTTAAATTAAATGAGTGGGTGTTAATAATATTTCTCTCAATCGACTGGAATTTAGATTGCATGCCATAGTTGTCTTGTTTAAGGTATAATTTTACAAAGAAGAAATAGAAGGACAACAAGAGTTATCATTTAATTCTAGAAGGTATGCATATTATATATTCAATTTTTTTTCTTTCCATGCATTTAACTTCTAATATAGGAAACACAAAGGGAAGAAGATCATAAATCAAAGAAGCAACAACCACTTAGAAAATTCTCAACTAATTGAAATTTTTATTATCCTTAGGCTTTTACTAAAATTGATGAAAAAGGTATAATAGATTTAAACTTTTTCTTTTCTCAATTCTTTTATATAAGGGTACATAATGGGTTTAAGAATTTTTTATGCTTAGTGTATCTAAGCTAGGAAAACAAATGTCTTTATTGGAGTAGGATTTGCTATTATTCATTTGAATGTTTGAAAGATCATGATAATTCTAGTGATCATGTAGCTATAAAGAAGGATAAAGATTACAAATGAAGACTTGAAAATGACAAACAAAGGAGTTTGATCACTATCACATCAAAGCTTTAGGTTTTAAGTTCTTGCAATCAAAGATGTTGTTAAAGAGGAATTTTTTTAGAGCTGCAAAGAAATCTTTTTTTTAGCTTGATAAACTGTCATATAGACTAATTACCACATGAACTAGCCCAAGAGTACAAATAATCAATTTGAACGACACCTAATTCTTTATATAAGTTATCTCAGAGACAAAGAAAAAGGTGTTCCAATCACAAAGTTTATTCAATTGTTACCTCTTGAAGATAGTATAACTAAATTAGTCTACAATGACATAATTCAAGTAGTAGAGAGCTTAAATTTGGACTTGAACAAACTTGTCACTTTGACAATAGACGAATGTAACACTATACAAAGGTCTATTATAAGAGTTGTTTAGCATTTCAGAAACAATATTCCAGGATTAATTAGTGTGTATTGCATAATACATAAAGAAACATTAGTAACAAAGGATGGATTGAAATTGAATGAAGACTCTACCCCAAATAAAGTATATTCTTAGCTAAAAAAGAGTGTAAATCACCATCAACATTTCAAGAAGTTATTTGAAAGCTATAATCATAAGTCATTAAGTTTATTATAAATTCATAAGGTGCAAAAGTTATCACAAGGGTAAATTATCAAATAGTTTGTAGAAGTTATGCTAGTGATTCTTCAGCTTTGGTAATCTAAATTACCTGAGTGGTATGACACCTTGAGAATCTTTCAAATATACTTGTAACCCTTTTTTAATTATAATTATTTTTTATAATTGTTTTATATATTTATTATAGGTATAGTTTCTTACTCATTTCCTAGCTAATGTGTTTACAAAGTTGAATAAATTCAATCTAATGTTCTAACATGAGAGGACATTATTGGTGATCAACAGTTTTTTAGATTTAACAATCTAAAATTTTTTAAATGGGTATTTGGCAAATTGTTGGATAGATTGAACATTATTATTTGATTCTCTATCTACTGGTAAATCTGGAAAGCTAGAGTACCAAGTAAATAGATATATTATTTCTTATGTTTTAAGTTATAAAGAGATCCCTTGTAAGGCTGGAGTTTTGGATTTTAATATAATATTAGATATATGAAGAGGATCACTTAAAGGTTGCAAAAGTATTGCAAAGTAGTACATTTAGGAAGTGGTTAATAGTCTTAATTGACATTTTGAAAATTTCTCATTCTTCAATAGTTTGAAGATTTTTCATCCTTGTTCAATTTAAAATGATTTAATAGCGAGGAGAAAATAAATTTAACTTCAACTAGAATAACTTTTCTAGACATATACTTCACCAAAGCTTCTCATTTTTATAACTATGCTAAACATCATTCAAAGTTTTTTCTTTAGCTGATTTTAGTATTTTAGTAAAATCATCTAGCTCTTGCATAACTTTCATATTAATGATAATTTGGTTATAGTTGATCTTATTAGTAAAAAATAAAATTGTTTAAATTTAGTGTTAACTTTTGTATTCTCAAATCTTATGAGGCTATAGCAAGTTTGAATAACAATTCTAATTAATGCTATTCCATGTGAGAGAAAATAAGTAAGTGAATTTATTTTGGAAATATTAAAGGTGTTGATGATGATATTCATAAATACTCCAAATCAAGATAATATAGATTGATGTAAAACATTCCAGATTTAGAATGCAAAGAAAGAAAGAAAAACACTTATATAATTAACCTTTCAATATATTTTTTGGCCAAAAACTCAAATCGAATGGCCTAAAAAAAGATTTAGCCTCTTTCAAATGTAATAGATTAGAAAACTACCATACCTTTCAAATTTATGCCTTGCCACTGATATTTGATCTCTCTCCCTCATATTGCATTTCTGTTTTGCTTGTGCATCCAAGATTTTTGTATCAAAAATCAATTCAATGAATTGACCTGCTCTAATTCCTTCTCTCTTCATTCCAAGGTGGCGAACTTGGTAAGCAGCTAGTTTTGCAGCAACCTCAGCATCACCATAATTAGAGTATCATCACAATCGGGCAGATCTCGTCAAAAGGAGCTTGTGGATCTTTGCGTGGTCAGTTTCAACTTCTCGTGACTTCCCTGCTGTAAACTCAGGCTCCCTGGATGCAATCTTGTCTGAGTTGAAGCAAGACTCTTCCAGCAAGAAATTAAAGGAAAATATCTCAATCAATCGTACATCTTGTGAAAGGCTACCAGAAAGTACCGCATTTCCTCACAATCGAAGGTCCTTGCCACGGCAAGATTCCAGGTAGAGATGTGGAGAATCAGTAGAGACACCATTCCTGGTCTTTGAGCGGCGAAAACGGCAGCAATTTGCTCTTCTAAGAGCTGACGCTTTGTTCGTGGATTTGACAGGGGAGGTATGGAGTGCGTTTTGGTGAATGGGGTTACAGAGTGGGAGGGAGAAAGGCTGCTTGACGCACGGATTAACGCTGCAAAACAGAACTCTTGGAAAAACTGGCCAGCC